ATACTAGGAGCAGGCTTAGGGACCCCGGTAACCGTACTCGTCGAACTCGACGAAGAGGTCGACGTGCAACCTAACCCATGCCTCAGCCCGCTGAGTTTCTCGCCGGATCTTCTCAGCGGGTCGCGATTCCGATCCGGTAGTAGATTCATTCGCGAAGCAATTGCTCTTGAGTTGTTAGGTCTCCTTCGGAGGCGCTCGGGCAGCTGTTAGCAAATCCCACCTCTTCTGGCTGAGCCTTTGCTCGCCCACTTGTCCTGGTGAAACTGGAAAGGCCTTCGAGCCACCAGTAATCTTTCAATCATAAAAAAAAGCTAAGAAACATTGTTTGGGTTGCAAAAAATAAAGAGAAGTCCATTTGAACACAATTTCTGAAATTAAAACCACATGCACAGCACGAGCGATAGCGAACAATGCGAACTGATTACATTTCACAAATTCATTTATACGAATCTAATCAACGGACGATTAAAGAATCGCGATAGCTTATCGCGCTACGTATGCTGTCGCAATTATATTATTAACTAGCGACCCGCCCTCGCTTCGCTTCGGAAACATTAAAACACACATGAAACCAAAAAAATAAAATAAAATAAATTTAAAAAAAAGTAGCCTATGTTCATCAGGGACAATGTCGGCTTCTAATGGAAAAATAATTTTTCAAATCGGTCCAGTAGTTTCGGAGCCTATTCGAAACAAACAAACAAACAAATCTTTCCTCTTTATAATATTATAGATATAGATTGGAGACGTAAACATAGACAATGCAGTAGTGTTACATTGTGTACGTATTGCGTAACGTCGTGTGAAAATTAATATCGTTTTGCTGCTTATCCGATGCTAAGTGACATAATTTTTAAATAATAATAATAAGCTTTATTTAATTCCATGCATAGTAATTACAATGTATGGACCCCGTTCGGGTAAAAGCCTCCCCAAGGAATGCCACCCTTCTCTGTCCTTGGCTCTGTCAAGCCAACTTCGACCCGCGCACGCTAGAATTTCGTCTGCCCATCTGGCCCTTGGTCGAACTTTGGATCTGGCGCCTTTTGGCCCTGACCACTTTAATGACCTTGAGAGTCCATCTATCATCTTTGTAACGGGCTACGTGGCCCGCCCACCTCCATTTAGCCCTCATAGCAAAGGTTAAGGCATACTTTTGTCTTCTTTCGGATGTCAACATTCTTTACCTTATCCTTCAGTTTTATACCTAGGCAACTTCTTTCCATATTTATTCAATTTTTGAATAGGCAAATAAAAAGAACATTGTTTTCTGTGTGAATAAGATTTTAAGATTATTTTTTTATAGTTTAGGTAGGTGGACGAACTCAACAGCCCACCTGGTGTTAAGTGGTTACCGGAGCCCATAGATAGCTACAACGTAAATGCTGCCACCTACCTTGAGCTAGGAGTTCTAAGGTCTCAGTTTCAATAGTACAACGGCTGCCCCACCCTTCAACCGAAACGCATTACTGCTTCACGGCAGAAATAGGCAGAGTGGTGGTGGTACCTACCTGTCGATCGATTTAGTCGATTTTTATACACAGCTGCGCTGTCGGTTGCAATTCAATACCCATATTTACGAGTATACCGATAAGTGAAAGCATTCTATTAGTACTTGCGCATGGAAATGCTGGGCCTTAAATACCTACTGGTAGTTTTACGAGCGGAACTGGCAAGGGTACAGAAAATCATTAATTGAACATTTATATTGTAAATTCTTCATATAGAGCCACAAACTATTGAAGGCTATTCCTCATTGGGAAATACAGCGCAGAAAGAGAGTGCGCACTCCTCTTGTACTGTTAGCGTTGGCAATAATTAGTGGTCGTTGAATCGAATGCCTATACTAGTCCAGACGGGTTTGTCTTTTTCCTACTAAGCTGATAGCCTTGAGAGGCTATGTCAGCGTAGCCTTAACGTATAGGTTCTCGGGGCTCAAACCAGGAGGCGTTGCTAACACTGGCCCTAGCAAGAGCAGTGCTTCGCAGAATCTACCACCGGCTCGGAAACGCGACCCACGGAGAAGATCCGGCGAGAAACTCAGTGGGCTGCGGATAGTGGCGTGATATGGTTACTGGAAAGTGGCTCTTATTGGCTTAACACGAAATATGACATAGTAGCTACAAACAAGTAAATTAACCCATAGTTAGTTTACCTTCCCTTCGTCGCAAGCGACGGGTTCGACAACAAGTCCAGATGGGTATCAAAATAGATTAAACCGAAATGTGTCTCTGTGAAGGCTGCGCGAATAATCGCTCCAATGCTTAGATACAAATCTTTACAAGACTTCCAATTTCAGAGTATCTTCCGTCTCCTATTATCATTGTTTCTTTGTAGCTGCTCAGGACCGATCAACAGGACTTTTAATTTTTTCGCACGTAACCTAAGGGGTTATGCCAGAGGTACCGGGCAAGGCAGAACCGCAGTTCTGTAAGACCTTGGTCTTGATCTTGTATGATATGGAATGATCTTGTATGGTATGGAATTGTCCTGTAAGACCATTTCAAACCATTGCACAAACCCCTTCTCAAGATACAGCGCAGCTTGCGAGTATCACTACATCACATCACTTACGTTAGTCACTATCATGCTGTTTGGTTGTTTGGTTACTTGGTTATTGTTAATTTGTTTACCTCAATGAGCCCCGCACAAACTTCAAACTTTATGTGGTTATCAGAGTCAACAGATATCTCAAATTAAATTCGCAATATGGGTACATTGACCCTCTGGTTTTAGTTCAAATTTGTGTAACAATGATAACAACCTTTCATATTGAATGCAGGACTGCTTCATGACAGATATGAGTAGAATATGTGTAGACCCATGCAGGACCATTAGCACAAACAATCAAGCAAATCTATATTTTTGAAAGTTAGGTTTTAATTATAGGATGCTTTCTAAACATTGATTTTTTTATATGTTTCTCTTTATTATAGTAATATAGATAAATGAATAAAATATTGAGAAAGAATTTTCGGTATTTGTTGTAAATGTTTATGATAATAAAATGCAAATCACAGTATTGAAAACAAATTTGTTCAGGCCAGTGCCTTCAATTATTTTAGAGCAAAGTCAAAGATGCTAGGCTTCTAAGGCGCTAAGTATCACAGCTTAATAAGTTAATGTATTTCGCTATCATTCGTTCATTCACTACCCGCTCTTCAAGCTCGTTGTACATCTCCATTAAAATATATCAGAATAATATCAAGTGCTGGAGTTTTATTACCACAAGAAACTCCCTTATGTACCACAAGCCGGTACAAAATTGATACAATATAATTTAGTTAAATAATCAGATTTATTCATCTTGGGCAGCTTCAAGAACATACAATAATATTCGCATAATATTTTGCTTTACAATTTAAATTTGCATAATTTCATTGCTAAATGTTTGCTTTATCACAAAATTTCATAATAATAATTTATGTTTTATCTGCCAAGACTCATGGAGTAGCACCATTAGGTGTACCTCATAAAGATGGTTTTGATGATTTTTTCGATTGTAATAGTTCCATAAAATTACATGGAAGTCATTGCTCATGGTGGAGCAAACGGTCTGGTCGTTTCCATACTTATCAGACTGTTTGAAACCACTGCTAAGATCAATTTCCAAGAAGCACGATAGTGCAGAACACACCTATACTAATATATAAATCTACAGTGGTTTTTACAGATGTTCCGTTATAACTACTGAACCATGCATCGAAATGGATAGGCTAATATTTATATGAGTGTTAGACTCCCTAATAATAATGACAATAAATAATAATGTTAATTTTAAATGCCCAGTGAAGTGGGCGAGTACAGCTAGTTTGTGTATAAAATCAGCATTCGTCTAATTAACACATACCAGTAAACCGCAGTTACATAAAATACTTAATATTTATTATACTGATTTAGTTAAGGGAGCCCCTTCACAAGATTATAATAGAAATAGTAATACCTAGTATATTAAGTAGAGAGTAAATAAAGACTATCTTGTGCCAAGTTTTTGTCTGTATTATAGGGCCAGAAAGATATGGGCGAAATCATAAATAAGTACACTTAAACTTTGAATTTCAAATCTCTTTAACAAAGATAATTTAAGTCAGAAACGGAAACCCCAGCTCTATGGTACAAAAATTAAACTTTTAAAAATCAGTCAAAGATTTGTATGAAATGGTTTGGTAGACAATATGAATAAAGGCTTAGTGACTTTTAACACATTTTTTAGTGTGATTTGTCTACAAATTACAATAGAATTTACTCAATTACAGTAAAATCACTTACCAATACCAAAAAGACACAATCACACACAAATATAAGCAGTCACTTTAAATGTAATATTAATTAAAATTAAATAACAACACTTTAGGATATTTACAGGCATTGTTTTACATACATGATTTACATCCTGTTTATTTTGAAGTTATGATAAACACTACATGTTACCTACTATGTGAATTATTATTAGTGTATGTCAAAAATGATTCATAATGTGTATTATTAATTTGTGATTGTTTTGAATACAGTTGGTAATGTATTTCAAATGCTTTGTCACATGTTATTAATTAAACTTAAAACCGGCGCTCAGATAACTATGTGGAATAAATGAATGAATTTATTTTATGATTAATTACATTATCATCGTTTTAATAGCTTTAAAGGCTTATGTTCAAGTCCACATTTCAAAAAGGGAGAAACACTGACCTAATGAACAAACTTTCTACAATTATTGTCATTTAGTTTTTTATGTGTTACTGCTATATTCATAGCACTACTAATTATATTTAACAATTATTTAAACTTACGTCGTAAGGTACATTTTTTTCGGCGATCGAACTCCTGTCGCGATCTGTAAAAAAATATTNTTAAAGGCTTATGTTCAAGTCCACATTTCAAAAAGGGAGAAACACTGACCTAATGAACAAACTTTCTACAATTATTGTCATTTAGTTTTTTATGTGTTACTGCTATATTCATAGCACTACTAATTATATTTAACAATTATTTAAACTTACGTCGTAAGGTACATTTTTTTCGGCGATCGAACTCCTGTCGCGATCTGTAAAAAAATATTAGTTTTATTTAATTGTACGCTTGAAACTTGTAACCCGTAAACTAATATGTCATAATAGGATTATAACAAAAGAATGTGCTGTATTATTGAATATAGGACATTACCATCGTCCTCGGCGACTGACTGCTCTGTAGCGTTCTCAGACTTTTTCAAAACAGAACTTTCCATCACTTCTATGTGATCTGAATCGCCCGAAGCCATTTTTGTTTCACTTTTACATCACTTTGTATTCAAGTACTATTCAATTCTTTTATGTGCACAATAACGATTCTCATGGTTCACTTCGCACTTCGCGGTATCACCACTATTCAGTATTCTCTCTAATTTAATTAAAAAGAAATCAATTACTTTACGGAAAGAATCGGTCGTGTAAAGCAACCCGTCTGACACGATCTCTCATAGTAACTGGGTTGCTAGATAAATTAATTTTATTGTTGAATGAATTTAAATGAGCCTGGCAACTGTCAAATGGTGCAATCACTGTTTGCTGAAGGACTAGATACCAGGCCATAAACTAAAAAAAAAATCACTGTTGCGATGAAAAACATTTCTGTTTCACACTTACACACATTCACAATACTCACAATCGTAATTCAGATTTCATAAAATATCGTTTTGTACTTACTGACTAGTAACGGCTCTGTTCAATTGTACTACACAATGTCGTGTAGGTACGCACTATTACTGCATTATGGGTAATTTCTATTCAGTGGTAGATTCAGCAAAAGACTGCTGTTGCTAAGGCTAGTCTTACCAAATTCTCTCACGTAGAATACGTGAGCTCATTTACCAGTCCGACAGCAGATGGAATAGTCTCTTTAGCCAACAATTAGAGAATAATTGCACTATGGATCACTTTTCTCTCTGCAGGTTTTATGTCATATGTTATGCTTCGATTTTTCGAATTAGACTTCTCGGTTACTCAATTAATTCCCTTTGTATTTGCCCCACACGAAAGCTCTGAAACGTAAGCACACCTTATTGACTATCTCTTGCTCAATACGTGTTCTTGTGAAGAGTTCGCTGCGTTATCCGTCTGCTCTTTACTAGGTAAAAATATTGTAATTTAAGTTAATATCGTTATTGGCAAGCGACGGCTGTGGTTGACCCTTAGATTGGTTGGTCTCGGTGTTCGAATTATAGACAAGATAAGTTTACGGTTCAACTAAAGACATGTCAGTGACTTCATATTAAACCAAGGATTTTTCTTTATTGGAATAGGAAAAATCGCCTTATTGCATTTGAAATTGATACTGTTATCGAATGTTTTGGCATCGCCAGTGTGTGAAAAGTCATAGAGAGCGTCCAACACAAACATAGCTTTCAAACGTGTTTAGGTTTCATACTTCAGTGGTTTTTGTTCATCATCATCTCAGCCTGTCCACTGTCCACTGCTGAACATAGGCCCCTCCAAGTGATCCCCAGTGCGGCCGGTCAAACGTGTTATTGGGCATGATAAAATATCAGTTGATATGTACATTACTTCTTTTTTTTAAATCTAACACCGGTCACTCACATGCGCACGAATACGCAAACCCACAAGTGTAGGACGACATTTGCGAATGATTATGCAAAGTTTTCGCTGCATTCGTGGTTTTCCAAGCTGTGTCGGTTTTTTAACAGACATCAAAGCGCGCGAACCTCGTACCTTCGCGTAGTCTCCCACACATTCGCTTGCCCAGTTGCGCCGACGATTGCGAAGGTAACGGACGTTTACTATACGCCATTTTCATAGTTCGTGACGTCTACTGTGTAGCGTATCTTCATCAAAAGAAATCCCATAAAAACAGCATGGCTGTTAATGATGTCTGGGAAAGAATTAAAAACTCTTTTTCTCTTCAATGTTCTATTGACGAATTAAAAAGGAGGAGAAATTCGTGAGACATTCGTAAACAAATGTAGGAGGGAGCGCAAACGGGTTCGCAAATTGAGTATGCGAACCCATTTGCACAACCGCTAGGTTTGCGAATGAATGTTTGACGGCCCTTCACATGCGCGCAAACATTCGTACAATCTACGAATATTTGCGCGCATGTCAGTGGCCGGCATAAAGCGGATTTGTTTTCTTTTTTTAAAGATTTTATGACCTGGTAACTAAGACCCTTACGTCAAGTTTTATTTTAATTTTAATTATCGTGTAATAAAAATGAAACCCGCAAAATTATAATTTGCGTAATTACTGGTGGTAGGACCTCCCGTGAGTCCGCGCGGGTGGGTACCACCGCCCTGCCTATTTCTGCCGTGAAGCAGTAATGCGTTTCGGTTTGAAGGGCGGGGCAGCCGTTGTAACTATACTTGAGACCTTAGAACTTATATCTCAAGGTGGGTGGCACATTTACGTCGTAAATATCTATGGGCTCCAGTAACCACTTAACACCAGGTGGGCTATGAGCTCGTCCATCCATCTAGCAATAAAAAAAAATTAAATCTTTTTTTATTTTGAAAAATGATATTACGAAATGAAATGAAGTTAATATGAAACATGGCATGAAATAAAATGGGACGAAACGAGATGAGATGAAAATAATTTCAGTAAAATGGGGTCCTTTACTGAGAATTTTTCAGTTGACTTTTTGGAGGATCCTAGAAGTTACGTTCAACGGCATTGTTTCATTTTCCCACATTTGTGCACTTTCACAGATACAAATTATTACAATTTAATACAATTTAATACAAATGAATACAATTATTACACATTTAAACCTGAAGAAACACTAAATGAACAAAATAAAACTAATCACACAACTTCACTCCTCGCCTTCCCGCCCAAAAGTCCGATTAATATAACATAACAATTTGTCGAATACATAACTTAACATTTACGATGCACCATCGTTAGCGATTGATTAGTGTGATTGATTTTCAATAAATACATAATATAATTATTACATAATATGAAATTTTTGATCTGAAGCGAAATGATACCTACGATATTAATTAATTTGAGACTTTAATCAATTGGGATGAAATTAAATGAGATGAAATACAGTTTTAATAAAATATTTCTTTTTTACGGAGAGATTTTCAGTTAATTTTTAGATGAACACGAGAAGCCCCTCCATCAGAGCAGTCCCTCGCAGAGATGCTACACAGCAAATCACCTTTATTTCATATTTACATCAGAAGAAACACTCCCACCAAACAGCTACTGCTGCAACTCTATAAAAGGTTTTTTTAAAGGGAATCAAAGATTTGGATTTCGAAAGAAACCATAGTTGAGTAACATCTGAGGATATAGTGAATTTTCCGATGTAGAGTGTTTCGCTACAATAACAAGAAAAATACTTATAAAAACTAAAGCTGTTATTTCAACATACAACCTGATACCTAAAAATGTCAAATTATGCCATTGGCAGATAAAAATAATACCGCATACTACATTTCCTGCTGAGATTGTCACAGAGACTATTTTATAAATTATGTATCATATTGTAAATGAGTGCAGTAGAATGGCATCGAGCAGGGAGAGATGGCGCGACATCGTGAGACGCATCAAGTCTGCCCCTTCCAACACTNTTTCAACATACAACCTGATACCTAAAAATGTCAAATTATGCCATTGGCAGATAAAAATAATACCGCATACTACATTTCCTGCTGAGATTGTCACAGAGACTATTTTATAAATTATGTATCATATTGTAAATGAGTGCAGTAGAATGGCATCGAGCAGGGAGAGATGGCGCGACATCGTGAGACGCATCAAGTCTGCCCCTTCCAACACTAGAACAACTTCTTCTTCTTCTTCTACATGACGATCACGACTAAACTGTCAAGAGTGACACGACTGAGAAGAATTGTAAATTAAAATACTTCGTAGTACGCATTTAATTTTTTAAGGATTCTAGAAATAGAAAATTTGTCGATATTCTGCTCTATATTTATGACGAATATGTTATTTAAAATGTTATTGTTATATATCGAAAATGTCGACAATGAATAATATTTCGTCAATGATTATGATATGAACACTGCCAAATATTGGAACCATCAATGCAAAACCGCCGTCGCCCGAAACATGTCTTTTCGGATCCCCGGATTCACACTCGGTGCTTTTAGGACCCTCAAGCTCCAATCGACGAGCGAACTGACCCATAGACACAGCCCACTAAGGTTCTTGCTGGATTTTCTCGGTGGGTAGCAGTTCCGATCCAGTTGTAGATGCTGCGAAGCACTGTTCTTGCCAGGGCTAGTGTTAACGAATTCTCTAATACTAGCCCTGGTTGAGGTTGAGCCGGAGCCTACTGAGTTTTTTTTTATTTTTTGTTGCTTAGATGGGACGAGCTCACAGCCTACGTGGTGTTAATTGGTTATTGGAGCCCATAGACATTCACAACGTAAATGTGCCACCCACCTTGAGAAACAAGTTCTAAGGTCTCGAGTACAGTAAAAACGGCTATCTAAAGTTTCTCGCTGGATCTTCTCAGTGGGTCGCGTTTCCGATTCGGTGGTAGATTCTGCGAAGCACAGCTCTTGCCAGGGTTCGTGTTAATAACGTCGTCAGGTTTGAACCCTGTGAGCTCACCTACTAGTTAAGGTTACGCTGAAATTAAGGTTACGCTGAAATAGCCTCTCAAGGCTATCAGCTTACGGCCTGGCCACGGGGATCGGCGGTGCGAACAGCGAAGCGGTGGACGAGGCGACCATTCGCGCAGCACCGTTTGCAGGCCACGGGTACTCACGTTCGCCGCCGCGACTAGTAAGGAAGTCCGACTGCGAAATGTCTATATCGAAATTATCTCGATATTGCTTACAAATTAATAGTTTTTTGGTTCAGGACTTATTATTTAGAAAAGATTGTGAAGTACATGATTTGAATAAGAATCGGAGTATACCTAAAGATGGAGAATTCCACAAGAAGTACGAGAAATACTTTGGGTGGCTAGACTTCCAAATAGCTGGTCTAGCTAGTATTTCAGCTATTTTATTTTTTTATTGCTTAGATGGGTGGACGAGCTCACAGCCCACCTTGTGTTAAGTGGTTACTGGAGCCCATAGACATCCACAACGTAAATGCGCCACCCACCTTGAGATATAAGTTCTAAGGTCTCAAGTATAGTTATAATGGCTGCCTCACCCTTCAAACCGAAACGCATTACTACTTCACGGCAGAAATAGGCAGGGTGGTAGTACCCACCCGTGTAGACTCACAAGAGGTCCTACCACCAGTAATTACGCAAATTATTATTTTGAAGATTTCATTTTTATCACACGATGTTATTCCTTCACCGTGGAAATCAATCGTGAACGTTGAGTGTTGTTGAGTACGTATTTCATTACAAAAATTGGTACCCGCCTGATATTCGAACACCGGTGCATCGCTCAACACGATTGCACCGGACGTCCGTTAGGCCACGACGACTTTAAAAATATAAAATAAAAAATAAATAAAAAATATAAAAATTTCGGCGTTAATTTTTCGCGGCGAAAACAACTAAACTCATTTAATCACTGCACTATTCGCCGCGACTACCGCTCGACTCCGTGGCTCGCGCCGTCCGTATTCATGCATTTGTTTTGCTCGCCCGCCGCATCGCGCGATTCGCTCGGTACATTTCGCCGGTCGCTTCGCCGGTCGCCGGTGCGCGTGGCTTGTTAGGTACATTTCTATGCGCTTATTTTAGTCGCTAGACGCTTCGCCGTTCGCACCGCGCGAATATTCGTATCGGCGAATGTCCCGTGGCCAGGCTGTTAGGTAAGAAAAAAAAAAGTTGAGTCCGTGAACTCACCTACCCATCCCAGCGTAGCTGGAATAGCCTCTTAGGCTACTAGCGATTCGAAAGGGGAAAAAAAGTATTGGAAACGTCAGAATAAAATAAATGAAGACAGCAAAAGTGAGATTAGATTGTAAACAGTAAAATGTGGGGGTATACGACAACGGCAAGATCTTCCACCCGGCGGACGAGATTGCTCGGTGGACCGATGCAGCGATGGTCGGGATAGAACTGTTCGGAACTTGTTTATATCAAGTTATCTTGAAAATGTTGTAAGCGAGATTCAGACAATGTCAAATATTTTGTGTTGTATGATGGGTACCCTCTACAAAAAGTAGTTTTATTTATGTTATAATCACGACATTATCACAAATTAAAATAATAATAAATTATGGAAATTAAATTACATCAAGTTTCTATAAAACAAGTTGCATCGATGGCCCATTTGGTAATCCACAATTATGGTCTAAAAAACCAACAAGTATTACAAGCCATTCTTCAGTTTTTACAAATTATAAACTTTTGTTCCGGTCGTTCAGTTTCTTCCGTTAAATACAGTCTGAAACGCTACGCTCTTACTTGGTACGATAGCAGATATATCCTCGTTATGGCCGTACCAAATTCGAATACCTATGTATGTCGTGTGTTAGATACCGATATTACCGACTCCACTATATTTGACATTCGAGACCATATTAAGTGTATAATCTATGTTCGAGACTGCCGCCAGGCGCCATGTTTATTTCTTTTCCGTCACTTCTTTGCCGCGGTAAGAAATTTGTAGGTTAAATTAATCTAAGCGTCTAATATCCATAGAATTACTTAAAACAAAAACCGCAATTAATACTTAAGAATTTATTGTAAATTTCGAGTTCGTTTAATGACAATTAAATTAATTTCAGAATAAGTGTTGTGCAGTGATAACATAGAACACGGCGGCAGCGGCATAGTTATACTGAAAATGGGCAAAAAAGTAAGAGAATACAAGTCAGGAGACTTTATATTTGCTAAAGTTAAAGGATATCCAGCATGGCCAGCTCGGGTGAGTGATAATTGTTGTCATAATCGATTTCAAATCAGAAGCTTGCACTTTCAATAACATTACATAAAATTATCTGGTGGTAGGTAAGCGCGGGAAGACATATTGAACTGACGCTTCGACTCTTACGAAGGCCTTTTATGCAAATAACTCTCAAAAATACGTATACATTAACTAGCAATATATCTCTCAGAAAACAAACTAAATCCAGTATCTATTTAAAAAAAGATTATGCTTATTTGCTTAAAAAATCTGTTTCTATTGGAATGTTATTTTTATCAATTTTATTTCAGGTACAAAGATTGAATGGAAAGAAATATTTTGTATATTTCTATGGCACTGGTGAAATGTAAGTCTCTAAAAGCAAATAAAACCATTTTAATATGAATTGTAATACTAAGAACAATAACAATAATTTGCCACATCAAATTTTCAGTGCAAATCTTCCACCAAACATGATATTCGATTATGCAGAAAACAAGGACAAATTCTTAACTAAAACTGTTAAAAGGAGGGATTTCAATGACGGTGTGAAGCAGATAGAACATGATTTTGCTAATAATGTACCTTTAGAACAAGTTGTTGGATTATCTATTGGGGTAAGCTGCAAAAAGTAATCAAAAATTCTGTAAATATAGGTCTGTATTTGAAGTGAATAAGCAAAATAGTAACTGTATAGTTTTGCATTGCAATATGTTGCTGAAAAGAAAGCTACACTTACAGGAAATTATTAAAACTTACAAAAATAAATTTTCTCAAATCATCACTGCATTTTGCTCTCTAAACAATTTAACAAATTTTGCTGTACTTTATCAATGAGAAAATAAAGATTAATAAAACTATATTGATATGTAAAATATTGTTTAAAGAGATAAGACTTTTAGTGTGCTGTTTTTAAAAAAAATATATCAGAAAAATTACCCTGTTATTAGCTAAATAAATTTCCATGCAGGAATCTCCAAATCCAAATGTTACAGCAAATGACACAACAACCAATGACACTCTAGACGAAACCAATGCTGATACAACAGCAGCTGATGAAACTGTAGCTGATGAGGTACGTCTTTCTTTGCATTATTCACTGACAGCCAAATGAATATATTAAATTGGTAAAACTTTTAACTATCTAAAAGATATATGATGATTTAAATTATTTCAGACATCTAACACACTAAATAATGATACTGCCATAGAAGATTCAGATGATACTGGGGCCCTTGTGATCGATGAAGGAAAAGTATGTGTGACAATCAGAGAATTGTCATTTTTATACTAATCTAATATTTTTTGGTTTTTTAGGCTTTAGTCATAAAATAAGCTGTAGGCAGTGGCTTGGCTCTGCCCCTGGCATTGCTGAAGTCCATGGGCGACGGTAACCACTCACTATCAGGTGGGCCGTATGCTCGTATGCCTACAAGCACAATAATAATAAAAAAAACTCATTAACTTCAAAGCTGGTAATATTGATTTTTCTCCGTATCAAAAGATTATAAATACCATAAATACATATAGAAGAGGTATTTGTGGAAATGACAAAAGTAACCTTTTATAATTGCTAATGAGCCTGACTTCTTAAATATTCAGCGTACCTACTTTGAAAAAGCTAGTGTGACTCGGATTATTGAATTTTATGATACTGCTGTAGGTAACAAGACTAGAGCACTGAACCTGTAGTTTGAGATTATGTATAATCAAATTTTTTAAAGCTAAGAAGGGTGAAAACTCACGAGACCTTACAAGGTTATTAGTAGGCGGGTACCAATTTTTCTAATGAAATACGTACTTAACAAATGTTCACGATTGACTTCCACAGTGAAGGAATAACATCGTGTAATAAAAATCAAACCCGCAAAATTGTAATTTGCGTAATTACTGGTGGTAGAACCACTTGTGAGTCCGCACGGGTAGGTACCACCGCCCCGCCTATTTCTGCCGTGAAGCAGTAATGCGTTTCGGTTTGAAGAGTGGGGCAGCCGTTGTGACAATACTGAGACCTTAGAACTATATCTCAAGGTGTATGGCGCATTTACGTTGTGGATGTCTATGGGCTCCAGTAACCAGGTGGGCTGTGAGCTCGTCCACACATCTAAGCAATAAAAAATAAAAAATAATAATACCACGAGTAATTACGCAAGTTATATTTTTGCAGGTTTGGTTTTTATTACACGATTTTATTATTCTTTAGTGTGGAACTCATGAATATGTATTAAATACGTATTTCATCAAAAATTTAATACCACTACTGCTTCATTTTTTTTAAAAAGTAAATTGAAGCAATGAATTCACTTGTATTTGTAATAATTTTTCATTTACTCATAACTAGGTAATTGATGTTATCCACAAGTCATATGGATGAGTTTGCAATTTGTGATGACCATAACTAGTATTATTAGCCATTGTTATTAAACTGTTAACTATTATTCTATTTTGGCAGTGTAAAATTATAACAAAATTATTTTCAACAGCCAAAAGGCAGAAAATCCAAAGCAGAATCCGTGAAAACCCCTGCCAAACCAGTCAAAGAGCCAAAGACACCTCGAGGTAAGGCCAAGAGGGATGAATCAAGAGAAGATGATCAGGATGAAAAGAAAGAGGAAGAGCTGGTCAGCAGGAGCGGCAGGAAGATACGTCCAAAAAGGTAACAATCAGATAACAAAGCTATAGTATTATAAGAAGAAGTCGTCGTGGCCTAAAGGATAAGATGTTCAGTGCATTCATATCGAGCGATGCACCGGTGTTCGAATCTCGCAGGCGGGTACCAATTTTTCCAATTAAATACGTACTTAACAAATGTTGACGATTGACTTCGATGGCGAAGGAATAACATCGTGTAATAAAAGTCAAATCCGAGAAATTGTAATTTGTTTAGTTACTGGTGGTAGGACTTCTTGTGAGTCCGCACGGGTAGGTTCCACCACCCTGCCTATTTCTGCCGTGAAGCAGTAATGCGTTTCGGTTTGAAGGGCGGGGCAGCCGTTGTACTGTTAAAAGTGAGACCTTAGAACTCATGTCTCAAGGTGGGTGGCGCATTTACGTTGTAGATGTCTATGGGCTCCAGTAACCACTCAACACCAGGTGGGCTTTGGGCTCGTCTACCCATCTAAGCAAAAAAAAAGGCCTATTTAGTTTTATTTTTGTTTAGTTTTGAATCGGATTGAAACATCGCAGAAGTTTTAAATACTTAAACTTTTGTTTAACACATCCGTATATTATATATTGTTTCTTACCGAACCGTGGTGGTTGAGAACCAAACTACGGTAACGATTGTCACAAACATTTTATTATTTATGTTTTTTAACTTCCCCGGCCTTTACTTTTACTTCTTGTCTGTCTAGTGTGTTTATAGGAATTGTGACTATTCTGATGTCTCTTGTAAGCTGCTTGAGTCCTTCCCTTTATTTAAATAATATGAGAATATTGTGATATGTCAATGTTCCATAGACAAAGTTATTATTTATTTTATTTTTGCAGCAAACGAGAAGGCCATCATTGTAAATGACCTACTAGGAAAATTGACTAATTACTAGATGATAACCGGTATTTTTTTTCTTGATAACGCCATCTTGTGGTGTCTTTAAAGCAGTTAGTTGCTCTGAATTAAGAAAAATAGTATTATTATTCGCCAATAGATGTCGGGAAGAGTCGATAAAGTTGATTATTGAAAACACGAATAAAACAACATTTTCTGAAAATAAATCGTAGCTAGATCGATTTATCGCCCCCGAAATCCTCTAGTGTTATGAAAATCGTTGGAGCCGTTTCCCAGATTTAGATTATATATACAATAATTGTTCGTTTAAAGGTATAAGATTGTTTTAAAACATCTTTTGCAGATACATAGATGAGCAGACTGAAGATAACGCAACGCTACCGTCTCCCGCTCCGAAGAAACGTCGCGGCGCTTCACCGCCCTTAGAAAAAGAAAAAGACAAAACCGAAAAAGATAAAAACATTAAGCATTTCAATGCCGTGCCGCAAGTAAGTTTAATTTTTAAACTTAGCTGTACCTAGTAAGTTTAAGTTAAAATTACGATAATATTATTTCAAGTGAAGGGATACATCCAGCTTATTTTTATACTGTCTTGGTCTTGTCAAGAATATTGACATTAATAACTTGAAAGTAAGTCATGATAAATTCGTACGTGCGTCAATTCAAATAGTTTAAAAAGAAAATCATTTACGACAACAATGAACTTTAATGCCTTTAAGTAAAAATGTATTAAAATAATTAATAAAATCTCGCGTTGCCGATGATAGACGGTCTTAATTGCTGTACAAGTTCTGTGGGCCCATAGGTACACAAGATATTTAAAAAAAACAAGTGCGCAATTCACATGTAGTCAATTCCAAAACATTCAGAAGTATTTGTTATTATCTCAGGCTAAATCTCAAAGATGTGATCGTATTTCAATTCGCAACAGTGCTGTTTGTTGCAGATGTTTCCATATTTTATATGTAGATAACTAATATTATCTTTGGTTTCAGTCCGAGTTGGAGGATTTGAAAGAACCTTTCAAACCAGGTTAGTTGATTTTATTATATAATTAAAAAAGGAAATAATGTATTATAGACACTCACGACGTAACAGTGAGCACACATTGTGAGTAATTTATGTTATTACATAAATACAATAATTGTGAGGTACTGCTATGAATTGACCTAAGAATGAAGATCCTATTGGAATATCTAATTATCATCTAATATATATTTTTTTTAAACTGAAGTTTAATTTGCAACTAAAATCGTACTGCTTATTAAAAAAATTGGTTTAAAAATAATATAAAATACAGATGAATTAAATCTTGCGTCTTGAATAAATTGCATGATGATGTAATTGAAGATTATTAAGTAAGGCCTTTTTGATCAAAAACCCTTTGCGCGTTTACATATTTTTAGCGCTGTTCGATTTACAAATTTGACATGTAACCGCGAAAATATACCGCCTAAATATAATATTCGCGCCATTGTTTTAAATAAAAATGAACAATGTTTCACAAGAAAGTCTTCTTTTCGATTTCGACAACGATATATTAAGTCAATATGATGATAATTTCGCACTAGATACGTGCTTAAATGACTACGAACGTGAAATTACTGACAGAAGTTCACAAAAAGACGAAAACGCTAGTGAGTACAAATATTAATGGTATTAAAATTAATGTTTTTCGTTTACAAGTTGAAATTAAATACTGTTTCTAATTTAAATTATTATTTTACGATGACGCGTTGTTATGGATGATAATATATTAGATCAAAATAATAATTTTTTTTTTTCTATTTATAGATAATGCGAATATTTTATTTTTCGTTTTAATAAAAGCTACTTACGTTTATTCCAGAATGTATAGTATCGAAAACAATAAGTTCTATAAAAACAGTTGAAGGACAAGATGCACAGGTTAATAATAATAATAACATAGCACCAAAATTCGGAAAACACATGAAAACATCTGCAAAGCGTAAAAAATTTATTCCTCCAATGAAATGTAAAAAAATACAGAATAATGATGATGGTACAACTATTGGATCAAATGTTTGTGTCACTAACAAATACCTTAATGATACATTTTATTCAGCACATCAACCAGGGTTAAATGTAGAATCTCAGAATGACCAACTTGACAAAATGAAAGAAGTAACCACTAATATTTTAGTCGAGCCCAGTATTCCAAGTGATTGTTCTCTAAGCAATTGTTTTACAAATGAATATTTTCATACTCACAATGTTACTGGACAAGCTTGCAATCCTAACATAGAAAGTAGTTCACTTATAAAGCATAAGACCGATACCCATTGCACTCAGAGTTGTGGAAACGTTAAAGTTGTTAATGTGAACAGAAAAACGAAAACTGATTCATTAGGAGGTCTTATATTCAACTCCATAAATCTATTAAATGACAATAACCTAACACCGTGTGCGCTTACAAGAGAATCCTCTACATCAACGGTTACAGAATTGAGCAGAACCCAATCTACGACTTCAGTCATATCTCTGAAAACTTACAAAAATCTAGATGACAAAAGTTTCACTGTAAATCATAATATACCATCCGGTGCAGAGTATTTTGAACTATTTAACAATGGCCTTGTTAATAAAATTTGTACACCAGTAGTGATGACGGTCAAATATGGTGACATTGGTTTTAATATGAAATACTCTGATTACATGAAGACCGCAGGTCCCATGGAACACGTAAATCCTGAAGTAAATGATACTATAAATAAAATAATTACTATGTACCCCGAGGAGAATAGAAAGCTACTTAGAAAATAAAATTTAAAAGTCGTTTGTTTTAAATAAAATATATTTAGTAACATAAAATATATATTTAGTAATAAATAAATATAAAATATATAGTTTAATTTTCTAGTTATTTAAAATTGTTGTAATGCTATTACGGTCTAAGTCCGTGGACACAGATTGGGGAGTGCTCTGAGGAATTGTTCGAGATGATACCGGCATCTCGTTTTTACCATCGCACCGCCCGCCACCGGAGTAGAGTTCATCCATACTACCTGGAGCCACTGCGTTCATCCACAGTGCGTTTCCAGAGGTCTTTTTTGCCACGTACCATCCGGCTATGGAATGAGCTCCCCTCCAAGGTGTTTTCCGAGCGCTATGACATGTCCTTCTTCAAACGAGGCTTGTGGAGAGTATTAAGCGGCAGGCAGCGGCTTGGCTCTGCCCCTGGCATTGCTGAAGTCCATAGGCGACGGTAAACACTAACCATCAGGTGGGCCGTATGCTCGTCTGCCTACAAGGGCAATAAAAAAAAACAGATAACCCAATCACATGAAAGATCTGTTAATAACAATAATATCAACAGGCAGGTGCTAATTTTTTACTGGTCATTTATTATTACCCTACGTATTTCTGCCGTTAAGAAGTGAAGTTCGTTCATTCCTCATTAAATAATTTATCAGTATGGGAGGGCTCCGCCCTCCCTACCCCCTGCCAGGGCTTTGCCCCTGGACCCCGGCTCGGTACTCCACGAACTTTCGGCCTGGTAGGAGAAAAAAATAGTATGTGCACCGCGGGAAAAAAGTAGGACATCTCATCCCGCATGTTAAACGATTTTACAATTTGTCAACAATTTTACATGCGGGAGGAAATGTCCTACTTTTCTCTCTTGGTGCACAATGTATTATTACAACACCAAGGCAACAATAGCAATAACTATCCAATTTTTATTATTATTATTGGGGCATCAAGTACTATTGCAACACCAAGGCTACAATAGCAATGACTATCCAATTTTTATTATTATTGGGGCATTATTATTATATCAAGTGAGCACTTATAAACAACCGTCCCCTGTGTCATTAACAATATAACGACGTCAGTAGGCTGCTGAACAAAATATTACTTAAAAAAGTTATAGCCCTAAAAGGTAGATGTGCTAAGCTCTAATGTCGTACTATATACTATAATATTACGATGTTCCACGAGCGCTTTGACGTCCTTCTTCAAACGAGGCTTGTGGAGAGTACTTAACGGTAGGCAGCGGCTTGGCTCTGTCCCTGGCATTGCTGAAGTCCATGGGCGACGGTAACCACTCATCATTAGGTGGCTAGTCTGCCTACAAGGGCAATAAAAAAAATACTACTGTTGAGGGGTGTTTTGTCACCTCACATGTGTAAGAATCACCACTGCCATGCCAGCATCAGCTATTGAATAGCGTATTCCGGTCTTTTCTCATGCCTGTAGATTTCTCAGAAATAGGAAGTATATTATGATGTATATACAGTTCCTATTTAAAACTCGTAAAGGGAAAGTAATATTAATATCGTAAAATATTTTTTCGCATATCTTCTGTCAGTACTTATGATATTTCTTATACACAATAAATAGTTCAAATTCAAATTCAAAATCATTTATTTCAACTTATATGTCAGTATGACACACTTGTTGAATGTCAAAACAAAATACAAATACAAATAACAATGTTAACTCTACCACCGGTTCCAAAAAAAGCCACAGTCCTGAGAAGAACCGGCGAAACAAACTCAGCGGGTTTTTTTTCTTTGTTTTTTCTCAAATATTTTCTTTTTTTTAAATAAATAAAAATATTTACAATAAAGGAAAAAACAAGTCAAAAAATATAATTAAAAATAATAATAATAATAATGAAAAATGAAAAGGTCAGGAGCGAGCGCCTCATTCCCACGTAGTGCCATCTAGTAAATAATCCTTAACTTTATAATATGCCTTGTTGCACAAACGTTCCTTGACAGTTTTCTTAAATCTATGAACAGGCAGTAATTGAAAAGTAGTCTCAATATCGTATAATATTCAGTTCACACTAGTACACGTTTTATCCAATTAAATGTATATTGTAGTATGCCCGTTAAAATATTATCATTAGGTTTTTATGTACAGATTAATGCGAATTAACCTCGAGACGTATCTATTGAAATATAAGTAACAAGCGCCCAGCTCCGGCTCCGCTCGGGTCTTTAACAAAAAAATTTCAACGATATTTGACGTTGTTTTATTTTTTAAAATAAAATAACTTATTGCGGCATAACTACAGGGGCGGGATGATAAGTAACTAGCCTAATAATGAAACACTTAACTTTCCATGATAAAATTAATTTTATTTTTCGACATAGTCTCCGTGAACCTCTACGCACTTATTCCATCTTCGTTCTAAAGCAGTAATGCCTTCCATAAAATAATTTCTTTCGAGGCCTGTAAAATACTACTCTACAGCGGCTATGACTTCATCATTTGTGGCAAATTTCTGTCCGCCCAAAAAAGTTTTGAGCTTATGGAATAAGTGGAAGTCTGATGGCGCTATATCAGGCGAATAAGGTGGGTGGGACAGCAAATCTTACTTCAATTCGTTGATTTTTGCCATAGCTTTAACACATGTGTGACCCTAGGGTGGAAAATGTTTTTTTTTTCGCCAAATCTGGTCGTTTTTACTGAATACATTGATGAAGATTATCTAGAAGATTAGTGTAGTATTCTCTGTTAATTGTTTGACCTTTAGGAAGGTAATCTATCATCAAGATCCCAAGTGCATCCCAAAAGACGGAAGCCATGACTTATCCAGCCGACTTTACAGCCATGGCCTTTTTTGGAGCCGACCATCCCGATTGCGTCCACTGTTTTTGATTGAATTTTTGATTCTGGCGTGTAATAATGAACCCATGTTTCATCTGCTGTTACAAATCGACGTAAAAAAATCGGCTTTATTACTCTGAAACGGTCCAAACATTCTTTTGAGTTTTGCACTCGAATCCTTTTTTGATCGTGCGTAAGCAATCGCGGCACCCAACGGGCCGATGACTTTTTCATATTTAATTCCTCACTTAGGATATGATGTACCTGGTCTTTGGAGATACCTGTAGTGTCAGCTATTTCAGAAAACTTCAATCGTCGAACTGTTAAAACTATATCATGTACTTTCACGACCATTTCCGGTGTCGTGACGCTTTTTGGACGTCCGGGGTGGGCTTCATCTTGGACACATGTACGACCGCGTTTAAACTAATCCACCCAGTTTTTTACTGTGGCATAAGAAGGAGCACATTTACCCAAAACATTATTTAACCCGTCATAGATATCTTTCCCCTTCATGCCCTACATATGAAGAAACTTTATCACCGATCTTTGTTCAAATTTATCCATTTTGAAAACACTTGACGAAATATATTTTCAAATGAGAAAAAATCAATAAAATTTTCACGCCACCAAATTGAAATTTAGAACACAGGTGGCCAGAGAGACGAATTTACAAATGACATATTTAATTTTTGAATTTTAACTTTTTAAATAGCAGAGGCTAGTTACTTATCATCCCGCCCTCGTATAATAGTTAGACATATGCTGTTGCGACACTTTTTGTAAATAATAATGTGTTCTACAAAGTCGTAGTACATTATTTTATTTTTATCATCAATAGTTTTCACAGGGCACGCGATGTAATTAATATTTTAATTTTTTTACATCTTGGGTTACATTATTGGAGTTTTAGTAAGGATCCCTAATTTTTTTCAAAAAACTCAGGAATAGTGTAGCTTCCAAACAGGGTTTTTTTTTTAAATCGGTTCAGTAGTTTCGGAGCCCATTCAATACAAACAATCAAACAAATCTTTCCTCTTTATAATATTAGTATAGACGAGCTCCGTTTATTACAGACGATCCAGAGAAAGACAACATTCTTATCGCCTACCTGCCCAGCGGTCAATATGTCGGTATAAAACTATTCCAATCTCGACCAGTCAACTTCAAGAACGAGTCTAGTAAATTACAGTGGGACAAGCAGGCGGCCACTAATGCTGTTACACTTAAATTGCAATTAGGTATGTTATAATCAATTAATAAATAATCATTTTCTTTATAGATATTCTTTAAGTATTGTAAATCAAACCCGCAACTTTTCTGTAACTACTGGTGTACCACCACTTGTGAGTCCGCACGGGTAGGTAATGGGTTTCGGTTTGAAGGCAGTGTTGAGGCAGTGAGGCAGCCGTTGTAACTATACTGAGACCTTAGAACTCATATCTCAAGGTGGGTGGCGGTATTTACGTTGTAAATGCCCATGGGCTCCGGTAACCACTTAGCACCAGGTGTGCACCCATCTATGTAATAAAAAATAAAAATAACTAAAACAATGTCTCGGCTACTGTATATAAATAAGACCAACAAAACGGCTGGTAATGGCAGGGATAATATCTCGCGCTGCCCTAACAGCTTTGCGATAGCTTGGATTTGCAAATCAGCATCTGTGATGCTGCATTCAAACTAATGTAAACTGTTTTATTACTCTATACTTCTCCCTTACTCTGTTAGTTAAGTATAAGTCCAGTAACCCCTTTAGATCAAATTCTAAGTTCAAAAATAATTGTTCTGCTTATAGAGAGAGGGCAGATAACATCTCAATCAGTGTTAGCGCAACTAGTTATGGATCTGAATCTTACTGATGAAGAAAAGGCGACTTTAGATAAGGAACGTGAGACAGGTAAGATTTTTAAATAATTCTAATATGACTAGTCTAACAAAACTAAACAGTGAGAGGTAAAACCTAAATTGAGGTATAGAGCGTACTGTGGCGATTTTTTCATTCCATCCCGTTTTAAGAAAATTTTAATGGATCGTGACAAAAATTGAGACCTTCAGTGCAGAAATGGTGGATAAAGGATCTAACCCACAATTTTTCATATTCGCTTCTATATATTGCAATTTATTTAAAACATAATTAATGATGATGCAAAACCGGCCTATCCCTAGTTTCAACCATACACAACGGATGGCTTTGTAAATATTATTTTTGTGCGTACTGTTTTTGCCTACGAAGCGGTGTAAAAGTAAATTCAAAACTCATTACCTCCATACTAACTATGCTTAAGCCACTTGCGCTATAGGCCTCAATTTATGTATTTCATTATTAATTTTAAAAGCAGCGAAAACTTTGTTATAATTGAAGACATGAGTGGATGAGGGGCTTAAGTACCATTTTAAAGATTTTTGAGTTTTTAATTGAATGAAGGTGTTATGTGCTTATAAACCATATTAGACCTTAAAACTCTGGCTTAGAGGCTATTTTTAAAAATTGCATGTGATGAAGGAATTATGTATGAAGAAAAGGTCCAAGTAACAAAAAGTTTGTTGCCCGTTTTCTCAAAATTAACAAATTGTATCATATCCCCTTTATCCACTCATGTCTTCAATTAATATGTAAAAAGACAAAATAAGGAAATGTAGAATTATTTAAAAAAAATCTCATTATTTTGAGGTTTTAGGAATTAATAAAACTTGTAGAAGCTTGGATAAAAATACTAGTTTGTCTGCATACTGTTAAGTAAAATTATACCCCTGTTTGTTTTTGTCAAACAATAAATGTCTAAATAACTTTATGTTACTTCCAGAAGAGAAAAAATCCCGCGTGCAATTCCTGAAGACAGAAATGAAGTTGATCGAATTAGATGCCAAGATTAAAACTTGCTTATGCTTAGAGAAGGCCGACACTGAACTGTGTCTTAAATTGCTCGACGAATTTATGGGTAAGTATCAATTCCATTTTTTAATTGATTAAAAAAACTGTCACAGATCATCTCAATACATCAGAAAACCTGTAAATTTAGATCCTTTATATTAATAACTTTACTACACAGTTTTCTGTTCAAAGACAAAATTAAAATATGTTAAAATTGCCCCAGTCCACTGTTTATAGTGAAGGTAGATGGTGTTTTTTTTTCATTGCCCTTGTAGGCAGACGAGCATACGGCCGACCTAATGGTGAGTGGTTGCCGTCGCCCATGGACTTCAGCAATGCCAGGGGCAGAGCCAAGCCGCTGCCTACCGTGATTGCAGTCTCATAACTCTAATACCCGTGTTCAAGAAAAAGGGGGCAGCAGCAGTGGCAGTTTGCTAGGAAAACATGCTTAACTTAAAATTATCACAAATTAATAAATGGTCCTTGTCTACACAAGTAGGAGCAGTAATACTTTAAGGAATCCACTGTATACACGTATCTTCGATAAATAGCTGGAAATATTAAAATTTAAGATTACATTAATTACATAATACACATTTACATAAAATCTAAAAAGACACTATAATAAAAAAAAAACTAATTCACATACACTTTCTGATATCATAATTTTATTGAGTTTTAAATCACAATGCTAAAGAAGATTCAGTAATAAATATTCCTCATATAATAAAGTTTCAAATGTATTCTTCATTGTTATGTTTTCTGAAAACATATATGTGGCAAGAACAAGTGCATACTAAGTTCACAAATCGGACCCCATCCTATATTAGTTATTTAATAATCGGTATATAAAACTTGTGTTACAGAATTAGAAGTGAAACCCCTAATGCTGCTGAAACACCCGACGTGCTTAGAAACCGTTAAACGCATGCGCGCCTACGTCGGAAACACTCCATCGTGGGATCTAAGTGAGAAAGATGCTTTGGAATTCAGTAAACAGGCTCATCTCATCAGGAAACAGGCCGATACACTCTACAAGACAATGAAGGTAAACCCTTACCTTATCTAATCTTTATTGTTTTGAACACACAATAGACGTATTTCCTGTGTTTTAGTGTTGTTATTTTGTTTTGATACCAAATATCATTAGGGAATCCTAGTTGTATAAAATAATGTAGTAATTAAAGTATAAAAAAGGATGACTGCATAGTTAGGACTTCTCACTTCATTTCTACGATAATTCGTGATGAATCTGGATATTATGATTTGGATATTTTTTTGCGTAATCACTGGTGGTAGGACTTCTTGGGAGTCCGCACGGGTAGGTACCACCACCCCGCCTATTTCCGCCGTGAAGCAGTAATGCGTTTCGGTTCGAAGGGTGGGGTAGCCGTTGTAACTATACTGAGACCTTAGAACTTATATCTCGAGGTGGGTGGCGCATTTACTGTAGATGTCTATGGGCTCCAGTAACCACTTAACATCAGGTGAGCTGTGAGCTCGCCCATCCATCTAAGCAATAAAAAAAACAAAATGTGTTATTTGATTTAACAAAAAAGAAACGCAGTTGCATTCTAAATTATAAATAGTTATAAGACTTGCATGTACAGTCAAAATCTGTTATAACGACATCGAAGGGACTGCTCATATTCAGTCGTAAAAACCGATAGTCGTAACAACCGGTGATGTTTAATGTGTATCGTGCAAGTAGAAACAATATCGATAGGGAATTATTGGAAAAATATGTTTATTCAACTATGTACATTTTGTTTATTACACATAAGTACAACATGCATATTATTTTTCTGTGAGCATAAAATCTGTAATTTTGGTCTGTTTGGAACACTTCTGTTGTGCATAGATATTTTATAATTCACGTTGGATTTTAATTAACGTATCGTCATCGCTCTTTCCAAATGGTTGCTATTGTCGAGTGTGATACACCATATTCTTTTGCTAAGTCTTTGTTTGAAATTCCGCTCTCTAGCTTGGATATAATACGCGATTTTTCTTCAATATTAATTTGTTTTCTTTTTCATTGCGACATTTTGAAAGTTTCACGAATAACTCCACAAAGTTTTGGTGCGTCTTGTGTATAGATAAGTAACAAACTAACTGAAGAGATATGAAGAAGCAGGCTTTGACTCTACTGCATGCACGTGTTTTGTTTCGAAGAATTAGAAAAGACCCTACACTAAAATAAATCCTATTGTTTTCTTTCCTGATTTTAATAGCCATACAAGACAAATGTGGATACCTATTCAAATTGTTTACAATACAGCTTAGCCGGTCGTTCTAACAGATCTAATTCTCCGAAATATTAGTTAAATGTGGTCGTTTTATGAGGTATCTCGTTATAAGCAATGTCGTAGAAAGCAATATTTTTAATAAGGCGGTCATATAGCATTCAGCCGGGACCTTTGTTCTAGGTTATTATAACCGGCATGTTGTTCTAACCGATGTCGCAGTAAACGGTTTTGACTGTATTTTTATTTTAATATAATAAGCTATTGTTTCTTGACAAAAAAATTTAAAACAATGATTTATTGCTTCTTGAAAAAATTATGTATAAATATATAGATAAAGCTAAATTAATGAATACATACATTAGTCCTCGAGGTGTTCATACAATTGAGTTCAAATGTTTGTACATCCTGACATCCTCATTCCTGACATTGCACCATTAATGTTGATAAAAAGGTTACGCCAGAGTTGGCTCAACAGACAGCTTATTTCAAATAGCCATGAAAATAATGATTGTATTATGCACTGAAAAATGTGAATCGATGTCAGCAAAAGGGTGACTGTAGATGTCAAGGCTGAAACAAGAAGGCTATTGAAAGGTGACCCTATCCCTGTTTTTGGAACGGTAGTCATTGACAAACAGTAATTGAGGATCTCTTAGCTCTAAGCAATCTCTGTACCAAAATAAGGGACATATTAAAAGATAATGATCAAATAAAACTTATTATTTTTCACAGGACCTATTCACCGTTCCAGACGGTCTATCATTCTGGGAGTTCTTCTCGGCTAGAGTCGTACACTTTAAAAAGATAACGGCAAAGTTAACATCGGATGAGCTCCTAGAAATGGTGCACGAACCACTTGGTATGAAACTACCTTCATTCTTTGGCAATTTGAATTTTTTGTATTGCTAAGATTAGTGGACAAGCTCAGTTCACCTGGTCGTAAGGGGTCGTTGGAGCTCAAAGGCATCAACCATATAAATGTCATCACCCATCTTGAAACATGAGTTCTAAGTCTCAGTTTTAAGTACAACGGCTGCCCCTTACCCATCCTTTAAACCGAAATGCATTACTTCTTCCTGACAGAAAAAGGCAGGGTGGTGGTGCTTACCCATGCGGGCTCACAAGACGTTCTACCCTCAATAATTACGCAAATTATCATTCCAAGTTTTTTTTAAATTATACAATGTTATTCCTTTAGTGTGAAACTCATTCGTGAAAGTTTATTAAATATCTTATTGTTTTAAAAAAAACATAGTTGTCCATTGTAATGAGTGTTGGTACTGTGATTATACTGTTTTCTTTTGTCATAGGTAAAAATTCATGACTAACAGTTTTTATCATATACAAAATGGTTTACAACAAGTGTTTTTCTTCCTTTTAAATTAGAATTGTCAACACCTTCACCGCAGTCAATGCAGTCCGCTATCGAAGCTGCAAATGATGAGGACACATCTGTCACTGAAGCTATCGAAGAAAACAACGTTGAAAAGAAGAAAACTACGCCCAGTATGTATTTATTGTCATTTTTTATTGCTTTTGTGTAGAGGCGAGCATACGGCTCACCTCATGGTTGGTGGTAACCGTCGCTCATACCCGTCAGCAATGACAGACGAACAACCAAGTTGCTGCTAAGGACTTAAACCCTGTTTAAAGAAGATTTACTGTAATACGTTGGAAACACTGTGATGGGCGAAGTTCATTATAAAGTCAGATTGCATATCATTATGTCAAAAAAATCTCTAGAATCATTGAAGGAATGCAGTAATTGTAGGTATTATGTAAGTATCAGGTATTTTGTAAGTATTAGGTATTATGTAAATATTAGGTATTTCATACCTCCCTTATAGTAAGTACATTTACTTCAGCATATCATACGGTACAAAATACTGAGAATTATGAGTCCCTTGTAGAACCAGGAATTACTAATAATCCATGAAACCAGGATAACTGACAATCCGAACGGCCTTCTTCTGTATATCAATCGGAAGTATCTGGTATTTGGGAGCCCTAGCTTAGCGATGTGAGCAGTATTTCACGCTAAGGTGAAGCTGTGCTTTGTTCAGCAAAAGTCCCTTGTCCAGGCGTTAAGTATCGCATCGCTCCACCTCCACATCCTTGATGCGTACATTACTTTACTCTTCAAATAATTCCAATACTGAAGACCGTTAGAATCGACGACTCTAAGAATCACAATATTTTCGGAAGGTAGTAGGGGTACTGCTTCAGGTAGCTGTATCACGACAAAAAAAATTTTTGCAGCAAATATATACAATATAGACACATATTTCTTGTTGAAAGGGTTAACTTAAAGTGATGCAAGTTTACATCGTTTCTTATGCATCACGCTCCTAGAGAGACTGATTGCCGGTATATCGCATATAGCCCATATCATCCTCATAGCAATGTATGTCATTTGCATAGATTGCTATGCTAATGACATGCTTGAGTTGATGGCATGGAGGAGGTGATTTATTTTAACTTTGTCGTACGATCATTATCTTTATCATTATGCATTATCTTTGTTGAATTAGGTGCCTAATTATCATAATTTTACTGTTGAAAACATAAGTAGTTTGAAAAATGATTGATGGATGAATTTGAGGATATGTATTGAAAACAAATTTTCTTTTTTTAAGCCAAACCGAAAAAGAACAAAGAATCAAACAATGCTACACCAAAGACTTTGGGCAAACGACAATCGTCTAGGAATAAACATGAAGATAAAGAGAAGGAGACAGAAAAAGAGAAAGAGAAAGAAATAGAGAAGGAGAAAGAAAAGGAAAACGACAAAGAAAATGAAAAAGAGCCACCGAAAGAAGCAGAACAGGAATCTGAACCTCAAGTAGAAAGTAACAAAGAAGTCGAGAGCAGTGATAAAGACAGTGAGAATGTAGAGCCAACTGTAGATAGTGAAGATAAAGAAGATGATCGAATGAAAGTTGACGAACAAAACGAGAAGAGTGAACAGGTTAATGATAAAGGTTGGTGTAACAGTAATACAGACAAGCGATGATAGATTTCTTAGTAGATACTTTTTTCCCGCTATACACTTAGTTAAATTTAATGTGTTGTGTTGGTCATCTATATATTAATACGTGAAGCAAAAACTTTGTGCCCCTTTTTACGAAAATTGCGCAGACGGAGGAGTATGAAATTTCCCACACTTATAGAGAATATAGAGGAGTGCAGAATGTAATTTTTTTTTTTAATTATGCATAAAAAATCATTAAATCAATAAAGAAAACATTACACACACTATCATGTATTTGACACAACACATATACTCTACATTTCTTGTCAAACTTGTGTTATTGTTGAAAGTCTGTGATCAAATTGAGAATAAATTAATATTGTTTGTCTTTAATACTATTTATCTATAGTGTACTTTTGGCGAAATCTGTGATTATATTAAAAAATTCTAATAGTGTTTGACAATAGAACCATAATAATGTTCATAAAGAAAATTTCAATTAATTATAGTCGAATTTCGACTACTGCGGGACCACTAATAATAAAATTATTAAACCTACACGGAAACAATCGTTTTGTCGACGAGCAAACAAGAACAAGTGTGACAAAAGTTATGAACAAAACATAACTGTTTTAATATCATAATTTAATTTATATATATTCTTCTGAAACTTTTTTGTATTAGTTTCAGATAGTGATAAGAATTCAAAAGAAGTTAAGGAAGATAAAGAACAAAAAGACGATAAAGAGAAAGAAAAGGGGAAGGAGACGACAAAAGATCAGAAGACGAAAGAAGACTCCGGCGAACCGAGAGCGAAGCGATCAAGAGAGGTTAGATAAAATGTTTATGTGAGTGCTAGAGTAGTGAAGATAGCGCGAGCTTGTAAGAGCTTGTAAGTGATGCCAACTATAACACAATATATATGAGTCGTCTATTATCAAAGGTGGCAATCTGTGCATTTGGACAAAAATATGTTATTAATATGTCAATACAGATTGATTTGAATATAATCGTCTCCTTCAAAGAATACGGTTCAAAACCTGCATTAAATAAAGGTTAATACTTAACCTGTTATTTATCTAAGATGTCGTTCAGAAGAGTTTTGTGACTGCCAATGGAATACAAAGTCAATAATTCGTTTTTCTGATTTACCAATAATTGTCCCAAAGTCACATTGCCGGCTTTGATAATAGTCGACTCATATATAAAGCAAAAAATAGAAGACCAAGGATATCATGTCATATCTCTGATCAATAAATCACAACAGATGAAACTTAATTTTAGATTCTGTATGGAATTGTGTGTAGATTTTATTCTATCTTCAAGTCTAAGACTAAATTAATAACAATTACTGAGTGAATATTTATTCTTAAATATATCCATATACATATATTAGAAGATATTAGTATGTTTAAAATCTCAATTTGAAAATTTTAAGAATGAATGCTCCAATCTAAATGCTCAATTTGAAGTCAACAACATTTGTATAATATTTTTTAAACATAACTCAGACTGCACATAGTGCCATCCGCTTATCACAGTATATATATTTTATTGCTAACCCCTAAATACAACTGATGAGTCACATTGTTTAGAATGTTCGTATCCCTCATTGAGTTTTTTACTGGAGAATTTACTGGTGGTAGGACCTCTTGCGCGGGTAGGTACCACCGCCCTGACTATTTCCATTATAAAGCAGCCATGCGTTTCGGTTTGAAGGGTGGGGCAGCCGTTGTAACTATACTTGAGACTTTAGAACTTATATCTCAAGGTGGGTGGCGAATTTACATTGTAGATGTTTACGGGCTCCAGTAACCACTTAACACCAGGTGGGCTGTGAGCTCGTCCACCCATCTAAGCAATAAAAAAACACTGATGTGTACCTAATTCAATACTTTCTACCTACTAGTTCATTATGACACAAACACTTAAAATCACTTTATGAATTATAAATTTCAGAGTAAGAAGACTGAGGCTCCATCACCAAGGTCACCGGCGAAACGAAAGCCGAAATCTTAAAATTATCGATAATACAAACACACATATATTATTTTTATACAAATAAAAAACATTCACGTTACGTGATAATTTAGTTGGATATAATTATTAAAAAAAAAAATGTTATTAAGTACCGTGAAGAGTAATCTGAACGCTAAAGTTGAAGCCACATGTCGGCTGTTCGGTGGTCGGACTACCGTTTTCATATACAATGCATGCACTTTAACTAATCGACTTCAGAAGCAGATGACTTATTGTTGTCCTAGATGAGTGAGCGCAGGCGATGGGCTGCGATGCTATTCAAAGCGATTTACTAACACGTGACGTCTGACGATATGTCGTTGGTAATGGGAATGTAAACACCTCATTGGACCTTCATCGCAAAATTTACTGGTGGTAGGACCTCTTGTGAGTCAACACGGGTAGGTACCACCGCCCCGCCTATTTCTCCCGTGAAGCAGTAATGCGTTTCGGTTTGAAGGGTGGGACAGACGTAACTATACTGAGACTTTAGAACTTATATCTTAAGGTGTGTGGCGCATTTACATTGTAGATGTCTATGGGTTCCAGTAACCACTTAACACCAGGTGGGCTGTGAGCTCGTCCACACACCTAGACAATATAAAAAATATATATATATATATAATTGAATAAACGCGTCAATGTGGTTGGTACACATGAAGGTTTTACTTCGCTTTTGTCGCTCACAAACTCCATCGGAATTTGTTGGACGTAATGAGTTAACATTTCTATTTACTGAAATGAAAACCCTATATAGATAGTATCTAGTATTTAAATATAAACTTTGAAAGTACAATTATTGTATGGAAGCAAGTAAATTTAAAGAAAAAAAGCAGCATCTTGTGTTCATTAATGTTAATGACATTAAAGAAATGCATAATTTACATAATGACTATATTAAATCTACTATTTCCTATAGTAGACATTATTATGACACAAAGTAATATAATAATATATAGAAAGAAAGAAAAAATCGTATTTCATATTACAAGCTTTGTATGTATCAACATGTTTTAAATATTAAACTGAAATGCCTGCAATTATTATAATCTATGTTAAAATAAAATATAATTTGAGATGCATTGAATCTTTAACGACTTTATGAAGCGTCATTCAAATTATAGCCTAGTATTTAATTGAGGTGACAGATAAAAACAATGCAAACTCAGGACGATGTTGGAAGTATAAAAAATATACATACATGATGGATTTTATTGTATTTTCTCCCGCAATAGCAAAATGTAACAAATTATATTTTATTATTTTTTAATTACAACTGTTGACGCGAAACGCAAGCTTCGTAGATTTAAATTAAATATACTAATGAAACAAATTTTATCATTTTTTTTTAGGTTATATTTTTTTTTATTATACTGTACTGCATTTATGTAACGAGATTGTTTTTTTATTATTATTATTTTAATATATATTTATAGATAAAACATTCCTGTAACGATTTCAAATGTAAGTGGAAATAGTTTCGTTCAAAGATCGATATTCGAGTCGATTAGTTTTAAAGGCGGCTGGGACATAGCGGAAGCTATATTTTGCATTGGCCGAATGGGTCAAATATATATATACACACAAAATTGTTAATTTTGAAAAAAGCAAGTTTACTACTTCTTTTTGTAAAATTACTACGCCTTTGAAATTATTCCCAAATCAACTTCAGTAATTATCTCCTCTGTAAAATTCATACAAAAATAAATATTCATATTTTTAAGCAGTGCTCTACAGTAGATCATATAGACCTTTATCGATTAGGTTTAGTTAGTGTTTATAAAACTCATTGTAAATATTTTATAATAAACTTCTTATACCTACTGAGTTGGTTTTTGTAGTTCATAGAATTTATAAGAGTAATTGTTTTTATTGTACTTTTAATCTCAACAATGTCGATGGTGACAATTATATTATATATTTTTAACGGAGACGTCGACGGTTCCTTCTCGTGTTCTCAATGGGGTACATGTTCAGTATTTTATTTTTCGTCTCCAATGCATCTTCCTTGACTGAAACAATGTTTTTTTAAGGAATACTCTCAGGAGAAAAAGTCAATTTCTTGATACGATCATGTATATACAAAAAGTGGTGCTATGTACCTACCAATTGGAAATCAGCTGATGCATTAAGTGAACGCTCTCATACAACGAATCACGATCGATGCCTACTTTAGCTTTAAGCCTTCGTCAAACAACGCGTAATGACGCCGAGATGTGTCAGAGCCTCAGCGCTATAAGCACGCAGCCCTCTGTCGCGGCGTTAGGACGCTTTAACGTCAGGCGTTGTAATTTTTTACAAATGTTATTTTAGCGTCCGAGTGAATGTGTATTAAAATACTAGATAATGCCCGAAACAATTATATAAACAGAAAATACCCATGCTTATACAATGCCACATCTGAATCACTCGATTTCTTAATACTTTTAAATTTTCACACTGCTATCGAAAGGCACTATGATTTGGCGAATGCGTTGCGTCAAGGAGCGTTGGACTCATCTAGTCAATTTGAAGAGGGCGACGTTAAGTACGCGGCGCTAAGTACGCGTTCTGTTTGACGAAGGCTTTAGATTAGTGGCTCACGAAATATGAACTTCGTAGGTAATCTATGAGAATTATCCGGTATTCCGTGGTTTAGCCATGTCCTTAGCCATTGGCAAGCAGTGAGAAAATCATTCGTATAGTTAAAAAAAAAAACTACGAACTTCGTTCTACTTTACACCTCTGATTTCTGACTGTATTCTTAATTCCGGAATGTAGTTTAATAAAGTGAAAATATCTTTTTTCTATAAATGTACTTATTTTTATGTATGATAGAATTACTGGTGGGGCCGTGTGAGTCTGCCACCACAACATCCCTACCTACTGCGAACTGGTCATGCAGTCGTTTTGAAGAGCTATTATACTATACAATTAGATTCACAATGGGTGGAGGCATTTGCGTTTTGATGTATATATGCTGTGGTTTTTTTTTTTTAATTCTACCTACTCTAGTAACCTCGAGGGGTTATACTAGATTCACTGAACTAGTAGGTGAGCTCACGGGCTCTAACCTGACGATGCTGCGGTAACAACTTAACAATGGGTGGGCTGTGAGCCGAAAATAAGGTTTCATTTAATTCAGTATCCCCTAGTTATCTATTTACATTAACGGGTACTACGAATATTTTAACTCACATTGTACGTTGGGGGTGTCAGATGAATCGCTTCTCATCAGTTGCATGTCAAAGCCCATTCCTTCATAATCCACATTCATTCTTATAGGCCTAATTGACTTGTTTTCTAAGAAAAATATGGCCGAATGTGGTAACACAGGATCATAGACACCTCTAAATAAATTCAAATAATTTTCTCCGACTGGCAAGACCCGGTTTTCGGAGGCGTTAGATGTGCTTAAACCATTATCTTGAAATGAATCCTCAGTGTTAGATTCGAAATCATTAGAACAACCGGGTTTGGAATGAGCTTCATTTTTAGAATGATATACTTTAGTTCCGTAAAGTTCTTTGTTAATTTTTGGGTATTTGTAGATAATTCCGGACATTTTTGCTTCGTTTTCGCTTATAAATTCAAAGTCTGATGAATGATAGCCATCTGAGTCTTGTTCTTCTTCTAACGTTGATATAGGAATAGTGTTTAAGTCGTGAATTGGTTTCAAATTAGTAACTGTTTGGTTGTTAATTGCATGTTTTAATTTGGTTCCGTTATCTTGATCGAATTCCTCATCAGAGCTTAGAGATATAATATCTATGTTAAATTTTGTTTTCTCTTCCCTAACAGGTCTAACTACAGGCTCAGTTAAGTCTATAATTTCTGAATTCACGATAACATTATTGGGTTCATCAGTAAATTTAGCATTTGTACTATAATTGCGCTGTGTTATATCATTATTCACAGTTTTATTGCCGTCAATTTCTTTATTTTTAAAACAGACCGGTTCATTGATTTCTTTTTGGTTATTTTTTTTCGAATTTTCATCGAATTTAAAAGCATTTAGACATTTATCATTAACTGGGTTTTTAAGTATTCTATCGTCAATATATTTATCATTAATTTGCATGAAATTTTTTATTTTCTTATCACTTAGCGGGTTTCTACTACTGTTTGTTATTTGTAAAGAATCAGTTTCAGCTATTACACAAATTCCTTGCTCGTTTATTGTATCATTAAAAAACATTACATTCGTTTTTGGTAAAATATTTTCAACGTCCGTTTCACTGCCCACTTTAAAGCCGCTATTGTAAATATTTGGATTTTTAACATCCACAGTATCATTTACATCAGTTTCATTGTTAATTTTAGCGCACATTTCAAAATTGGTATCATTAAGGTTTGGTTTTATATCTTTGGATGCATTTAATTCAACAGCTTTCAACACTTCATCTTCAGTATTAGTTTCAATTTTAGATAGATAATCGTGATCATTTCTTAACGCTTTTTTAATTGATGTGGAGGTATCTATTTGTGCCTCATTAGCTGTTAGTGGATCGCTACCATTCATTTTCCTGATTTTATTTTTAAGCCTGTTTACAATGTTTAAAAGAGAATTCATCGCTGTAAATGGAACACGTGAAAAAAGTTTTAAATTTTCGCGACTACATCTACTTTTGTAAACATGTTACCGGATATTTACAATGGTTTTAAAGATTTCTCATTATTTCGGACTTAAAAAAATGATTCACTTAACATTAGACAATAATAATTAAAATTAGATTACTTTAAAGTTGAGATTGTCGTTAATTAATCATCATGCCAGCCCAACTTCCCTTACTTCTTACTGACTTTAATACACTGGCTTTTAGGAAGTTCTTGGTTAATTTTGTTATTTGTCATATTCGACTCTTGGGGTTGACTTGGCAAAGGTGGTTATCTTTTTAAGTCCGTTGATACTATGATCCACAAAATTATTTTCTATCCATTTTTTTTTGTAGTTTTACTTATTTTCAGTATATAAAAAAAACGTCAAGGAAGAAAGGAATTTTTATATTTTGTTTAAATCGGTTTCTCATGTAAATGTAAATTATCAAATCAACACATTTTTACACATATACATATATACATAAGTTAATATTAACGTAACATAATTTATTTGGTATGTATAGTATGCACTTACTTGTTTAGTAGTAATAAATATCCAGAAAAGGAAAACTTACTAATTATAGTCTCTAAAACAAGATTCTCATAAATTAAAAACTAAACTTGGAAATTACCGATAAGCACATCACATACAAATAATTCTTTTAAAATAAAATCTGAAAAAAAAAACGGCGGGAATTTATGACAATGACATAAGGTATTTAACCATACAGCCCCATTATTTATTTGCTTTTACACTTGAGTCGTCTATTATCAAAGGTGGCAATCTGTGCATTTGGACAAAAAATTTTTATTGATATGTCAATACAGATTTATTTGAATATAATCGTCTCCTTCAAAGAATACGGTTCAAAACCTGCATTAAATAAAGGTTAATAGTTAACCTGTTATTTATCTAAGATGTCGTTCCGAAGAGTTTTGTGACTGCCAATGGANTTGAATATAATCGTCTCCTTCAAAGAATACGGTTCAAAACCTGCATTAAATAAAGGTTAATAGTTAACCTGTTATTTATCTAAGATGTCGTTCCGAAGAGTTTTGTGACTGCCAATGGAATACAAAGTCAATAATTCGTTTTTCTGATTTACCAATCATTGTCCAAAAGTCAGATTGCCGCCTTTGATAATAGTCGACTCACTTATTAGTTGAAAAAAATAAAACAAGTTTAATATTAAAAATGACGATTTTACTTTATTTTAACAAACTGAAAAATATTGTAATATACGTTTTTACAAATGCAGATGACATATTCGAAAGATATCATATTAAAGTATGTTAACAAGATTCTTGCTTGAAAAAAATCTAGTTTCTGCAAACACAACAATATACATATTGTATTAAACAGCCAAACTAGATATAAAATATTACAATTAAAATTAAGATAAGTATTCTAATAAATACAAAAGATATATCACTTTTTCCCGGATTTCTTTATTCCACCCTGGGTAAGTGGACCTTTTTGAGTTGCCTTCGCCTTGGCTTCCTATAAAAAAAGAAAATATACAGAAAATTGCTTGTTTTCTCGTAAAGATTTGGAAGGATTGGTATTATTTTATAAAAAAAAAAAACTGGTTTTAAATATATTTGCAATTGTATGTTTAGTTTTGTAGCACGAGATGAGTTGAGTGTAAGCCTCCGATTTTTCGTTATGTGCTTAGTGCGAGTTTTTTAACGTTCTCGATAGCGTAAAAGTTAACTAAAATTTGTATGGAATCGCAACGTTTGCCTATGTTTGCCGCTAGGGGCGCTGTTTCAATTGCATACAAATTTGAGTTAACTTTTAGGCTATCGAGAACTTTAAAAAACTCGCACTAAGCACACTGGTGATACGTCTTTAACCGCGCCTATAGACATTACATGAGCAGTAATAATAGTTTTATATGTCGGTTGACTCATGCTTCAAACAGCATGATTGCTTTATGGATTAAATTTGCACAATCGTGGAAGCTACTGGTCTGTGAATACAATTCAACTTACCAACACTATGAACATCATGGATACTTTAAAATCTATTTCAGAAGTTATATATACCTGAAGTTATATATATCTGGTATTATATATACCTGAAGTGCCTTCTGTTGTTCTTTTAGCTTCTGTTTGTGGGCTAGATCGTCTTCGTCCATCTCCTTGGACTCCTTCTTGGGTGCTTTCAGGGGTTTCTTTTTGCCACCTTCACGGCCAGACATCTGAAGCAAAGATTTTCATGGAAATATGTTACACATTATATTCTTACACATTTTATTTTATAAATATATTTGTGTTATTTATTTGTATGTTGTATAAATGACTGATGGCTGAACTCATTTGTGGGTAGTTACTGTCTCCAGTACTACAAAATTCCTGATTCATTTTGAAATATAATGGCATTATCTTCAATTATCGCGATTCGTTGACACTATTGATAAAAACTATTTTTTCAGTTTAATCGCATTACAAATGTAATTTTTGTAGTTTTTTTATTGGCCTTGTAGGGAGACGAGCATACAGTCCATCTGATGGTGAGTGGGTTGCCGTCGCCCTTGGACTTCAGCAAGACCAGGGGCAGAGCCAAGCCGCTGCCTACTGAAAGTCCAATGGTTGTTCTGGCTCTTTTTTTCGTCTGTAGAATTCAACCCCTTCAAGAAACAGACACGTACCAAAAAAACTAATGTGTAGTAAAGTGATTTTGTAGCTTCAATACCTAACATACATGGTAATTATGTCCGTTTAAATCGACTGTAAGAACTGTGTAGTTTATTGTTTAAAGGGAAGACCATTAATGATTTTCCTTCATTAGTTCATAATAATATTGCACTCAGCTTTAAGCAACAAACATAACTAAACATTTGCTGATCTGAACAAGTGCTTTTTTTTAAATTATAAACTATTTGATATATACATAGCCTTAAATGAAAGGTCACAGACGTAATTAATTGAGTGGATAAGACAAATCCTTATTAATACGCTTTTATTAGCTTCATACGTATGTTAATATGTAATGGAATCTTTGAACATGATTTTGACTCATTTAAAATGTCAGATTCACTAAAAATTTGGCATAATTATCAAAGACCAATGACAATTAGGTCCATTATTTACTTTCGACAGTCAAAACAACAAATTCATTTGAGCTTTCTCTTTTGCACTTAGCAAATTGGAAACTGTAGTATTTGCCTTAATAAACATTAATGAATAATTAATGATACATAATTCTACTTAAACTAAAAAATTAAAAACAAATAATAGTTTAAAAACTAAAAAAACACACTTTTATAAAAAATTCAACCAAAAACTAGAAAATAAATTTATTGTAAAAAAAGTGTGAGTTGCTTTTTAAGATATCATCAAATAGTCGATTTAATGTATTGCATTGAATGTGTACTTGGCAATGAGAAATAGATGTTTTCAATTGACACCTTATAATAATTGCTAGCCTTTTAACATGCAAATTGTGTTATAAATTTAGCCAAGGACGAGTCAAGGATATGTTTTAATATACAATTACACACATACTCATTTATACAATACGAACAAAGTTGCAAAAATCTAAATAAACATAAAAAGTGTTTTATTGTATTAGACACAACATGCTGAAGTATTAAAAGACTTTAAGAGTTAAATATTCACAATTAGGTGGGTGGCGCATTTACGTTGTAGATGTCTATGGGCTCCAGTAAACATTTGACACCAGGTGGGCTGTGAGCTCGTCCACCCATCTAAACAATTAAAAAAAAAAAGATTAAATTGAGTCAGGATGTGAGTCGGAAGAGACATTATAATATATTTTGAAATACATAAATTTACAATTGAAGATTTCAAATTGGTTAATAATTGCAAAGCATTGTGTACTAAATAGACTGATTAAAAAAGAATACAGCAAACAATATGTTCAACAGGTGATGATATAGAAGACAGGAGGTTACGAGTAAATGGCTCATAGAAATTATTTGGTGAGGTAAAGAAAACAACAACATCAAGTACATAACATTACTATAAATTCAATGAAAAAAATTCCTTTCAGGTTGGTACAGAATTCCATCGAAAAAAAAAAAATTTACATCAGTACCTACATAGCCATTAGTGCCATTTACAAAAAATATTAAGTATTCCAGATGCAAAAAGTTTTGAATTGTTGTAGATAGTTATTGTATTATAGTATTCATTGTTTTACATTTCACTATTGTAAAGGTATGTTTCAACCCATACCTGTGTGAAAGTTTGGTTATAATTTTGTCAGATGCATGATCTATCAGATGGATCTATTAATACATGAACTATTTTATGATAAAAAAATAATTAAAAAAAGATAATTATTAAGAAACATTCGAACAACGTTATAGTATTCAATATAGTACCTTAATCGTATGTTGTTTCGCAATAACCTTACAATAATTAACTAGTTGAGTTTAGAAAACTAATACTATTTTTAAATACGCTAAACAATAAAATATGTTAACTTACGGTTGTACGCTGAAACGCCGATTAATTTACGAAATAGATGTTAAATGTAAATGTCACGCGTTGGAGCACGATTATAATGTATTTAAGTATTTAAATATTTGGGAATTGGCCGTTCAATCATGAATCGATAACCAACCGGTGACGAATTTTGACAAGACATTGTGAGTAGTAGCTTCATTTTCCAACAGGAAAGGCCAAGGTATCACAGCACACAGCCTTATCTTTTATATATATTATTATGTATTCTGTTATATGAAAAACTAGCGACCCACCCTCGCTTCGCTTCGGAAACTGTAATTTATTACTGATTTCTCCACTATTTAATGGATGTTATTATACATAATAAACCTTCCTCTTCAATCACTCTGTCTATTAAAAAAAAAACGCATCAAAATGCGTTGCGTAGTTTTAAAGATTTAAGCATACATAGAGATATAGGGATCGAGAAAGCGACTTTGATTTGTATTAAGTAGTGATAATATGGACGAAATGAAGTTGATTTATTTGAGACTATAATCAATTGGGATGAAATTAAATGAAACGAGATGACGTGGGATGAAATTAAGTCTCAGTANCTGTCTATTAAAAAAAAAACGCATCAAAATGCGTTGCGTAGTTTTAAAGATTTAAGCATACATAGAGATATAGGGATCGAGAAAGCGACTTTGATTTGTATTAAGTAGTGATAATATGGACGAAATGAAGTTGATTTATTTGAGACTATAATCAATTGGGATGAAATTAAATGAAACGAGATGACGTGGGATGAAATTAAGTCTCAGTAAAATGGTGTTAATTACAAAGACTGTGGATTTTTTGGAAAAACCCGAGACACACCACAAAGTTCCTTCTACTAAATACCGAAACGAACGGTTCAGAACGGTTCAACAAGAATGAGACTTCTTCTATGATGAGCACCAAGCTGGCACTACTTAGGAGAGGTTTTCCGGAGAATGATAATTTATTTCAATTAAATACTTATCACCTTCATTTTAATATCCTATCCAATAAAAAATGAATTGTTTGTTATTTATACTTCAGAAGGTCCTATTGAAAGATCAATAGATTTAAAAATCGTTAGTGACCGTTACCGCTTTCTAACTTATGATTGTAGTCTTAGGCTTGACTCATACATCCGGAATTCCTATCTGAATTCAGAGTTGGAATTCATTATTTGAATCCCGGCAATTCATTCATAATTTGAATCCTCACACAAATCTAAAAAATTCAGATTTTTTTTATTGCTTAGATGGGTGGACGAGCTCATAGCTCGCCTGGTGTTAAGTGGTTACTGGAGCCCATGGACATCTATGACGTAAATGCGCCACCCACCTTGAGATATCAGTTCTAAAAAAATGTAGGTACACTAAATGATAAAGTAAAATGCAGTTATTTATTAAAAATTCAAATATTTAAGACAAGTAATTATGCAAACACATACTATGAGAAGTTTCACGCAGAAGACAATAATCAGAACTGGTATAGCTGTCATGGAATTCTAGAAAAACTATTTCGCAGACTTTTTGCGTTTCCCCCGAAATGCGCTTTTTGTACTTAAGGTTCTTCCGTATAAAGGCAGCTTCATTAGGATGGGTCTCATCACGTTTCGTCTTATTCCATCACATTTAATCATAAAAAGCCAATCATTTTATTTACTTCCTTGAACATGTTTGTATTAAAATTTAAAATTGAGTTACGGTTTGTTACTCATTTATTTTAATGTTGAAAGTTAAAATAAAACATTCTTTTGGTGTTAAAGTTTCAAATTTTAATCTTCTTCATGTTTTCGTTGTTTTAGTACACTTCTAGCAGCTTTGTAGTAATTTTCCAGTGATAATTTTGCAGGATCACACGCTTTTACGCATTCATTTAAAGAATCAAATCTGTTTACGTTCCCTCCATAGCCCGAGTACGGAAATTTAACGCATTTCCTTTTGTTCAAGTCATAGGCGTACCTGAAATAAAATTATGGATTAAATAAACAAGACGCCATTTTATATTCATTTTATATAACGTTGCAAAGGGTTTATTTATCATACGGTCTTAATTAAAAATAATTGTGTTGTCAGGGACCTAGTGTTTTTTTATATAAATTTTCACACTAATATCAAGAAAATGTATTTTTCTAGACTGAAAACTCATTATTCGAGAATTATTTTTATAGCACGAACGATCATGTCGCTGATGTCATGGCGGAATTTCCCTTGTTGACGTCAATGGACTCCAGTAACCATTTTACACCAAGTAGGCCGTGAGCTCATCTACCGATCTAAGCAATACAAAACAAATTATTACTTTGTAACGTATTCAGACTTATTCTTCTCTGTTTTCTTTCCGGGATCAATCTTCATATAGCAAATTTCATATGTTTCTGTAAAAAAAAATTTACAATATTTCAATAATTAACAGAATAATGAATAATATCACAATTATTTAGCTTTACATTAAGTTCGAATTCAAATAATAATATAAAAATTCAATTAATTCTATATCCGGGTTATTGGTTTCGATTGTACTCCAAACCAGGTTTCTAATATTTATAATTGTCCTTAAGGGCAGACCTTAACGTCCATCTGGCTGTAAGCTCTTACCGCCGTTTAAAGATGTCAGTAACGTCAGGTATATTTATTGATGAGGAGACTCCTTAAAGGATACCGGTGAGCCGTTAGCTCACTAATCTAATCAGAGCCACAAATAAAAAGCTAGAAAAACAATGACATCAGTCAAAACAAATAAAAAAATGTATCTACATAAGTACTCAATGATTTTTGTTTATTTCTAAAATAAAACAATAGTGAATTTATAATCAATACCAGTTTAGTTGCGGCTTGACCTCGAATTCGAATTCTAATTTAGATGCTGTACCTAATTTATTAGATGAAGTCATAGTGATGTTAACTGAATTACTAATCGGAATCTCTGAATTTGGATCATAGATTTTATTTACGTCATTTAAGTACATCGTTTTTGTTTTCATAATTAAATTTGAGTTAACTTTTACGCTATCGAGAACGTTAAAATACTCGCACTAAGCACACAGGCCTATCACACGTTATCTCTGCTCTCACATCCTTCTCTTGCATATCATCTTTCACAGAGCCCATCCAAGACTTTTTAAGACGCTCACATTACCGTCCACTTTGACACCCAGGGAGTTTTTGGTATTGGATACCGAAGACCTGCCTATTTCTATGGAGACAATCGCAATGGCGACATGGTGATGGGTAGTAGCAATTGTGATCTATATGATATTTTAACCACGTAAGACGAGACAGCCCATTTAAGATAGAAAAAGGGAATTTCTTTGTACTGCAACGGTTTGAAAGCCTGTCAAAGGTGAACACTTGTGAACATTTTGATGAGTTCATGCTATGCCAAGCTTGTTTTACAGTTATGAAATAATTTTGTGAACATCTAAATGATTAGTTATATATGAACGTGAACTAACAATCGTTCATATGTGGTGAATGTGAGTCTGTTCTGAGCTAGAACGGTTGTCGTTTATACCTGCTTGGAGCGGGGGACCGGAGTTAAATGAACTGCGGAACGATAACATAGAATAGAAATGAACTGGTTCATTTGATTCACCTATGCCAGGCATGGGCAAATGGCGGCCCTGTCTGGCCCGTGAAGCATTGTATATATTATTATTAAAAACAAAAAAAAATAGTTTTTGTCTAACATAAATTGGTGCATAATTTTTTTTAGATAAAATACTAAGCAATGCTTATACATTCTGTTAAATTAATAGTTTATGCTAGCATTTGTTTTTCATGTTTTTTGTGACTGTTTGTGACTCAATCTATTAAGCATAGACGATAGTGGTTACACTTTTAATAACACCTTTGTATGATAGTTATCTGATGTTTAAAAAATTTCTTTTCAATTTTTTTATTCAAATGACTTGATAAATAAATATTTTAACTCAAAAACGTTGGTTTTAAAATTCATTAATTGACATTCTTAGCAAAAAATATACTTACAATTAGAAAAAAAAACTGTTTGGCCCGAGGTAAAATTTTCATCTGCAATGTAGCCCATTGCCATGGCCATGTGGTGCAATGTGGTGTGACTATCAAAATATTTGCCCACCCCTGAACTAGACGAAGGAGTTCAGAAGAACGAATCATTCACAATTTAACTATTTCGTACAGATTATCATTTTAAATAAATACGTTTTTTTTTATTTCTGACTAAATAAAGTGGAAATGTATATTAATCCCATCATATCGAAGGGTGAAACGCTATTTATTTTAAGCGACATTACACTACACGATTTCATTTCTTGTTAGCATCAACAATATGATGTTTTTAATTGCTCTAGAGGACCCGCAGTAGTCGAAATTCGACTATAATTAATTGGAATTGTAAGTTTGTACAATCATTGTATTTTATACTTCTACAAGGCACGAAGAACACGAAATGATAAACAATTATTATTTTAATTAATAGTATTTTAATAAAACGTGAAAGTAAACGCGAAACTTTTATTTGTCTGAAGCCTGCATCCCACATGTATTTTTGTATGCTGTATCATAAAAAAATAAAAACCAAACTTTTTGTCTAAAAAATAAATAAATATATTTAAGGGTGGACCACCCTTAACATTTAGGGGGATGAAAAATAGATGTTGTCCGATTCTCAACCCTGGCCGATATGCATGCTAAGATTCACGAAAATCGGTGGAGCCTTTTCGGAGGAGTTAAATCACGCACACCGTGACACGATAATTTTATATATTAGATATTCGCCAAGGCTACACTATAAAAACAATATTTAATCTATTCTCAATTTGACCACAGACGTCAAGAACAAAAGTTTGACAATAAATAGTATGCATGCGTGTGTGCGTCAAATACATGGTATGTAGTGTGTGTAATGTTTTCTTTATTGATTTAATGTATCTTTTATGCATTATTAAAAAAAAATAGCATTGTGTACTTCTTCTTTAAATTCTCTTTAAGTGTGGAAAATTTCATACTCCTCCGTCCGCGCAATTTTCGTAAAAAGGGATACAAAGTTTTTGCTTCACGTTTTAATATATAACCCGTTCAAATAGCTGAAGAAGTTTCTTTGTTTAAGATATTTTTTCCAAATTTTAAACTTTAAATGGCTCACACCTGAAATAGCAAAAATGTTGCTTAAACCATATAGCCGCTCATTTTTCGATTGAGCCTACATTAGCCTTCTATTTTCCTATTTAAACGCGAATAGCATTATAACAGTGAAGTTTGAGTGAAACTTACCAAGGCCATTGCAAAAATTCAAAACAGCGTATATCAAAAACAATAGTATTAGTGGAACACGCATAGCGTCGTATCTTTTATGAAGCCTAGACTAAAATGGCGATCACAGTTGATATCGACATTCTAAAGTATATTAAGGTTAGTGCGGTGTCGTGGTTTTGCTTAGATCAATTAAAAAAACTTTATTACCATCGTATCGCCCGCCAACAGAGCTGTTTCATCTTTACCTACCTAATCGTTGGTAGGGGCTATTCAAACTTCACGCGAACCGGTAGGTGAGCTCATGGGTTCAAATTTAGAAGATTGTACAAAGTGGGAATGAGTTGCGCGCTCCAGACATTTCAATATTGCAATAATTGTTACGTTATAATACTCCTTGTAAAAATGAATATTAAAAAAAAATCTAATATTTAAAAAAAGAAAAAGAAAAAAGACATGGCCGCTGAGTTTCTTGCCAGTTCTTTTCAGGACGGAGGCTAGTTTTTGTGAATTGGCGGTAGTTCATTTTGACGTTCAATAAGTATGTACTTTTTCATTTATGTTGAATTTTTTTTTTTATTTGATTTGGTTTGATTCAACCTGAGAGAATTGCTAACAAGCCTAGCAAGAGCAGTGCTTCCTGAATCTACTATCGGATCGGAATCGCGAGTTTTATTCACCATTCATACTACATATAACAAACTTTTTTATTTTTCTATTGCTTGCATGGGTGGACGAGCTCGCAGCCCACCTGGTGTTAAGTGGTTACTGGAGCCCATAAACATCTACAACGTAAATTCGCCACCCATCTTGACACAAAAATATATAAGATATAAGTTGATAAGAATCATTATTGAATTGATCACTATATCGACTGGAGAAAGCTTAAATGTGGTACCCGCATTTTAGGCTAAATAACTTTTTACCATATTTTATGTATTATATTTATAGTTCTGGTGTAAAGTTGAGTTTTTCAAGCTACGACAATTCGGCTTTCTTCAGTCTATATGTTTATTAAATAAGAACTGTCTTTCAGTCCACAAACGTTCTGTTACGCCGGTAATAGTAGCGCCATCTATCGCTGAATAGTCGAACGAATATCGAAGGATCTAGTAGCAACTAGAACGCTCGAGAAGTACAACGCCATCTATTGTCAGATAGCGCAAAACACAATGAACAAAACAAAAACACTCGAAATGTGTGGAATACTCTCGATAATTCTAGGGATATGGTATCGGCTATAAAAGCGTTGCAGAAATGGCACGCAGTCATTCAGTAATCGGAACTACTCGAAGCGAAACACCGAACGAATCACCTCAAGCGAAGCGGATTGGATGGACAAAGGATGAGCATCGCTATTATGACCGGTCCTGCACTGGCTGCAACCAACGGATCCCCGCGACCCTCAACAGATATAATCGGTCCCCCTTGTGGGGGACCTAGGTCCGCTACGTCTTCCGTTAATTAAATAAAATAAATATCAACTAATAAGAAATTTTCAATACACGGACGTTTCTGTGACAAATTTTTAGCGGTGTAGGTTTTAATATAAACAGTTTCAAGGCTGCTCGAAGTTTGTCGTATTCAAGTTCTGCGTCTCGCGATTTCGGGTTTCTGGTCGTGTTAAACTTAAATTTAAGAGATGCACTTTTTTATTGTTTTAAATCAGCGCTTCCCAACCTTTTTTCATTGCCGTAAGAACCCTTTTACAATTCACAATAATATGAGTACAACTCTAGTGATTACTCCGTACTTATTCCTAAAATGTGTCACGTCTCTCTTAAGGTCCATTGTCTATGAAAATATGTATCTAGTATTATATTCTGGAGAAACTTGTGATCTACACAGAGTTTGATGTAGGAATCCCTTTCTGGACATTAATAATCGTTGTCATCATTTAATTATTTATTCAAAGACACTCATAAACAGTCGTCGGTGCAGGTTTGAAGTCGTCGTGGCCTAAAGGATAAGACGTCCGGTGCATTCGTAGGTAGCGATGCACCAGCGTTCGAATCCCGCAGGCGGGTACCAATTTTTCTAATGAAATACGTTCTTAACAATTGTTCACGATTGACTTCCACGGTGAAGGAATAACATCGTGTAATAAAAATCAAACCCGCAAAATTATAATTTGCGTAATTATGTACTGGTGGTAGGACCTGTTGTGAGTCCGCACGGGTAGGTACCACCACCCCGCCGATTTACGTTGTACTGGCTACATTAATATATATTCCATTTTGAGCGCGCTCATATTAGATGATGCTATTGAAATGGTGGCACACGAGTTCTGCATGGCCTAGATTAGATAATCTAGCATGCATGCCTAGAAAAAAAAAATGGATTCTGGATTCCATTTGGATTCATTTTTATTTTTTTTTGCTTTGATGGGTGTACGAGCTCACAGCCCACCTCCACCTGATGTTAAGTGCGATGTTAAGTTACAACGTAAATGCGCCACCCACCTTTTTTTTTTTTTTATTGCTCATGTTGACGAGCTCACAGTCCATCTGGTGTTAAGTGGTTACTCGAGCCCATAGACATTTACAACGTAAATGCCGCCACCCCACCTCGAGACATGAGTTCTAAGGTCTGAGTTTTCCAGTAGTAGCTAATTGACCAGAGTCGGAGATATATTCCCGGAAAGATGTCCAGATTAAGTATTTTAAATTTATATTCATTCAGCATAGTATTCAAATGTCGTACTCAAACACGAAAAATAATGTAATTACAGTAAAAGTAATTTTGATTATGTCATGTCAATTAATCATGTTTAAATTTTTTTTTATTGCTTAGATAAATCGACGAGCTCACAGCCCACCTGGTGTTAAGTGGTTACTGGAGCCCATAGACATCCACAACGTAAATGCGCCACCCACCTTGAGATATAAGTTCTAAGGTCTCAAGTAAGTTACACATGATATGACACAACCATCATCATCATAATCAGTCTTCCACTGCTGGACATAGCCGAGCCCTTCGTCGCAAGCGACGGGTTCGACGATAACGATGACCGGATTTTTTTTAAAATGATAAATCTTTTTAACCTGCATTGACGAAATACTTCGATGGTGAAGGAGCGGTTGTCGCATCGTGTATTTTAAAGTTGAAAAAAATATTTCTTAAATTAGATGGTAGAAGAGTAAATTGTTAGTTTTTTATTTTTATTTCCCTTGTAGGCGGACGAGCATACGGCCCACCTGATGGTGAGTGGTTACCGTCGCCCATGGACTTCAGCAATGCCAGGGGCAGAGCCAAGCCACTGCCTACCGCCAATTGTTATGCGACTGCATAGGAAGCGTTGGGGCAATTGTAATACTTACTGTTTATAGGCTGTGTTATCCGGCGTGAGCTTTTTTTTTTTATGATTGAAGGAGTACTGGTGGCCCGAAGGCCTTTCCAGTTTCACCAGCACAGGTGGGCGAGCAAAGGCTCAGCCTGGAGGGGTGGGATTTGCTAACAACTGCCCGAGCGCCTCCGAAGGAGACCTAACAACTCAAGAGCAATTGCTTCGCGAATGAATCTACTACCGGATCGGAATCGCGAGCCGCTGAGAAGATCCGGCGAGAAACTCAGCGGCCTCGGCGTGAGCTGTGCGACGTCCAACCATATCGGCTGAGAAAATTGGTGATGATAACAAAAAAAAAACCCAATAGGTACGAAGAATAAGAGAAACACGTTTATTTTGTCCGATAAGTTTTGTAATTATTTTCTTTGCTTTGATTAAAATTCATTATCAGTTTTAGTGGATTACGAGAATGAATCGCTTGCCGATTCCACAGTAGGTATTCATGTTTTCAAACATTCATTTTCACATTCGGTTATCGTATTGAAACGATTTTTGCTTCCGCCGCATCCTCCGTAGATGAAGATTTCGCATTTCTTCGTTCCTTGATTGTACGTGTAGCTATGGAGAGAAGAGAACACACTTTACTGGTGGTAGGACGTCTTGTGAGTACGCGCGGGTAGGTACCAACACCCTGCTTCTGCCGTGAAGCAGTAATGCGTTTCGGTTTGAAAGGTGGGGCAGCCGTGGTAACTATACTTGAGACCTTAGAACTTATATCTCAAGGTGTAGATGTCCATTGGCTCCAGTAACCACTTAACATCAGGTGGACTGTGAGCTCGTCCACCCATCTAAGCAATAAAAAAAATAATTAAGCAATAAACCGGAATAAACAAATAATGGAAGAAAGCAAGGATGCGTTACACTTAGACTAAGGTTGCGCAATAACTGTTGACATTGTCTTTAACTGAGCGTCGAGTCTTCATTATGGACAGTTGTCAGTACCACCGCAATATCCTCGACAATGAAATCGCCAATACCCTTTCATGTTTAGATTTTCTATTATGCTATGAGTATCGAAAAGAAATTAGGCAAAATCGATGCCCGTATCAAGGTAACCAGTGTTGGCTTATAGAACACTCACCTTTGGATGCTGGCCATACAAAGGCCCGTAATGCCAAAAGGCTGCATGCATTTCGGTAGGTTCATGTAAGGCTCTGAAAATTTAGGTCAGATTATAACAACAATAAACCCATGAAGCTCCGTGATGTATGTATTGCAAATAAATAATATATGTCGGCTATTACGATAGTAGGATTACTATTTTTACTGGAGGTCTCAGTATAGTTACAACGGCTGCCCCGACCTATCAAACCGAAACACATTACTGCTTCACGGCAGAAATAGGCAGGGTGCTGGTACGTACCCGTGCGGACTCACAAGATGTCCTGCCATTAGTAATTTTCGCTGATTTCATTTTTATAACGATATTATTACTTCACCGTGGAAGTCATTAGCGAACACATATGAAGTACGTATTTCATTAGAAAAAATTGGTACCTACATATCATGCGGGATACGAAAACAATATAACGAAATAACTTGATAATTGTAAATAAATAGACATGCTTTAATAAAAACCGACTTCAAATAGAAAAATATATATATTCCAAACCAAATTACTATACACTAAAAACAAGAATCATCGAAATCGGTTGGCGTGATATTGAGTTATTGAGTTATTCATCTATATGTCACGCACGTACTTAATGCAAATATAAGACTTTTAAGGTTTTCTCATGGATACCATTATCAGAACTGGACTAAATTGAAATCGGATCACACGGGAAGCGTCAGCTTTCTAATAAAAAAAAGAATTATCAAAATCAATTCACCTAGTCAAAAGTTATGAGGTAGCAAACTTAAAAAAAACACAATCGAATTGAGAACCTCCTCCTTTTTTGAAGTAGGTTCAAAAGACATTAAAAATTTATAGATTTACCATCACACGTAACTGACGTCCAGATTGCAGCGAAGAAAACGCCCGTGGTCAGGAAAAGCACTGATCTCAACATGACTTCTCTGATTCAATATTGTATGTCTTATATTGAAGAGCCAATCGTTGTTTATATAGGCACAATTATTTGACCCTTTGATATTAGGTCAGAATGATTAATAAATAAATCTGATAAGTAAAATTCTGCGGATTTGTTTTCTCCAGCTCATTACTTTTGGCTCGGATACTTTTGATCCCATATATGCTTTATTGGTGGTAGGACCTCTTGTGAGTCTGCGCGGGTAGGTACCACCACTCTGCCTATTTCTGCTACTACTACCAGACTCGCCACCCTGAGGACGCCCAACCGCCAGTCCGCCCGGGCGATACCACTGGTTTTCCGGGATATCCCGCTGAATCTGAACCAGCCGGGTCGGAGCTCGATACGCCGCCGACCGGTCACTCTTTTGATGTCACACCTTGGCGGCGCGTTAGATTAGTCGGAACAAACAGACAGACAAAAATTAAAAAAGATATTATTTTGGTGTATGTATGTGTTCTGATGGTAGGACCTCTTGTGAGTCCGCGCGGGTAGGTACCACCACCCTGCCTATTTCTGCCGTGAAGCAGTAATGCGTTTCGGTTTGAAGGGTGGGGCAGCCGTTGTCACTATACTTGCGACTTTAGCACTTATATCTCAAGGTGGATGGCGCATTTACGTTGTAGATGTCTACGGGCTCCAGTAACCACTTAACGCCAGGTGGGCTGTGAGCTCATCCACCCACCTAAGCAATAAAAAAAAAGAAATAAATATGTTGTTTTGGTGTATATAGCGTATACATATGCATGTAGTAAAAAGCAGTTATTTCAATATTACAAACAGGCACTCTAACTTTATTTATATGTATAGATAATTTCGATGTTTCTCACATGCATTTTTCTTTTCTTATCTTACTTATCAGACGAACATAATGTTTTCTATTAATCCTCTATAAATATATTAATACAAAATGTCTTGCCAATGGACGTATCCATCAATGCAGAACATGGACTGTTGAGGCTACAAAAACGACATTTTAATATAACTAGATGATGACCGTTTTTTTTTTGATAACGCCATTTTGTTGTGTCTTTAAAGCGGTTAGTTGCCCTCAATTAAGGAAAATAGTATTATTATTCGCCAATAGATGTCGGGAAGAGTTGATTATAGAAAACACGAATAAAACAACATTTTCTGAAAATAAATCGTAGCTAGATCGATTTATCGCCCCCGAAATCCCCTGTATACTAAATTTTATGAAAACCGTTGGAGCCGTTTCCGAGATTCAGATTATATATACATATATACAAGAATTGCTCGTTTAAAGGTATAAGATAAAAGCAGTAGGTATATTTTGCTTATTATATTATCGTGTTTGTAATTAAGCAAATCTGTTAGCCGGCCTCGATCTTCTGAACTGTGATATCATCACTGTGTCAACAATAATACATAACATGCTGGTCAAATTATGTTCACTTTCCGTCGTGTTTATAACAACGAATTCTTGATAATGTTTCAGAAACATTCATTCGGTAAATCCGATTGTTAATATGTAAGTAGGTATCGCTTAGAGCAGGGATTCTTAAAAGGGTCAATATCGGCAACTTACACGACTGATAATTGAACCAACCCCAAAGTTTTAAAATTGGTAAGTATTTTGTGTATCGATATAAAAATGCAAAAGTAGGGATGGGATTTTTAAAGTTGTCTGGGTATGGGTGCTGAGGTTTAGCATGGGACACTTTTAGGATCATTCGGGAAAAGACGTATCTTGCCGAAAATAGTTGGGAAGTTCGGTCTTAGAGGTACATTCTGTATTCTTTGTTTTTCTTGTGTTTGTGTGTGTGTGTGTGTGTGTGTGTGTGTGTGTGTGAGTGTTTTTATATCATCTTTGGTTTTGACAAGTCGTAGAATTCAAACTACTTATAAGGCTCAATCTCGCATATTGTCATTACATTATTTCTGATGTATCCGATGCTTTACAGTTTCCGTGGCACGTCATTTCGGATTCTCCCGATCCACTAACGGTGCTTTTAGGTACCTCAAGCACCGGTCATCGTTCTTGTCGAACCAGTCGCTCGCGACGAAGGGCTCGGCGAGTAAGTTAACCCACAGACACAGCCCACTGAGTTTCTCGCCGGATCTTCTCAGTGGGTCGCGTTTCCGATCTGGTGGTAGATTCTGCGAAGCACGGCACTTACTAGGATTCGAGTTAGCGACGTCGTCAGGTTTGAGTCCCGTGAGCTCACCTACTACTTAAGGTTACGCTGATATGGTCTCTATAGACCATCAGCTGAGGTAGAAAAAAAAAAAGTTTCCGTGGTCACGACCGTCTTATCAGTGGTCATAAAAGTAATTTTAATTCTGTTTTTTTTTTGTGGTATTCTTCGATAAATTCTATTTCAATTAAAACTTTTTTTTTTTTATGATTGAAGGATTACTGTTGGCCCGGAGGCCTTTCCAGTTTCACCAGGACAGGTGGGCGAGCAAAGGCTCAGCCAGGAGGGGTGGGATTTGCTAACAGCTACTCGAGCGCCTCCGAAGGAGACCTAACAGCTCAAGAGCAGCTGCTTCGCGAATGAATCTACTACCGGATCGGAATCGCGACCCGCTGAGAAGATCCGGCGAGAAACTCAGCGAGCTGATTCATGGGTTAGGTTGCACGGCGAACTCTTTGTCGAGTTCGACGAGTACGGTTACCGGGGTCCCTAAGCCTGCTCCTAGTGTTAGAGCTGAAGGCGCCTAGTGCAAAGGTTATTGGATCTGATGGATCCGTAAGGACGTTTCTAGGGCGTCAATTAAAACTATTTCGACAATGACTATAATAACGCTTTTATTTAATTTATAATTTACATTGCTGTAGATTCTGTTATGGCATCGTTGGTGGACACTCGTCTATAAGTAATAAATGATTACTGATTTTAGTAACTGCGTTTATTAGATGATGGTTAGAGCTTAAATTATATTTTTAATTGTTAAGCTACGAACAGCTTAGTAGCGCATCAGGGATGTTTGCAGACGCGCATATAGATTGTTTTTACGCTACCATGCGTAAGAGGTGTGCATCTCTGGTAAGCAGAGTGAGGGCCAGCTCCAAAAGTATCCTGAGCATGATCGCAAGCAGGCTGGACTGTGTATACATGGGTCGCTGTGGTGCCATCTCCCATGGGATGTTACGACAGTAATTCATTGTGATGTAAATATAACTACTAACATAGGTCTAAGTCTTATTAACAATTTATATGAGTCATGGTTACTTGCAATAAAAACATTATTATTATTAAAGAAAAACCCACGATAATTCACATATAAATCTATATATTTAATAGTTTTTATACAAAAAATCATCATTTTATGCACCAGGGCAGCCGATTTAAAGAGCGTGCGTTAATTAGAAACTATTAGTTAGTTTATGCATTTCTGTTCGCATTCGGCCAATGTGCTGAAACGATTATCATTCCCTTGGCAGCCTCCGTAAATGAATTCTTCACAGTTCTTCGTCTCCTGATTGTACGAGTATCTACAAGAGGAATATAAATAAGACATATTCATACATATTCCAGATTAAGTCCCCAACAAACCGGGTTCTGTAAGGTTTGTATCTTAGGTCTGATTTGCTTAGGTACAAAAATGTCGCGTTGACTACCAATGGGTAGTACTAATTTTCGATACAACTATTCTGTGTGGTCATTGGATATCACTGAAATTTTAGAATACAATACTTCGGCCTCATCTCTGGATATGAGTGGAGGCATTCGGGTTGTGGTGTTCCGGCAATCAGCAGTTACGTTTGTTTGGAGTGTTATTCAGAAGTTTGGAGAAAATCAAAACATTATATCTATATTTATCGGTCCGAGAGCTAGACCAACTCCTCAATGAAGGGTTCAGGAGACATAGGAGAGGAACACGTGAGACCCTATTCATAATTAAACTTTTATATGCAGACAGGAAAAGGCAAATTAGTTTTTTACCATTTTATGTCCTGCCCGTCGGCCGATTTCCAAATTAAATCGGTGTCACAGTCGTACCCGAATACGCAGCGAGGATAGTCCTTGGTAGATCGGTGGACCTATAAACTGCTAAAGGTCGCGGGAATCCATTAGATACAGTAGCAGTCAACATGGCAAGCCTTGGGGATGGCTTTGGTCCAGCGGTGGACGGTCGTGGGTTGATGATAGGTATTTTGGAATTTCGATCATCGGACAAACACTAGTAATAATAACAACACTCACAGTTTTATATAGCCCAAACAAATACCCGCATCGGCAAAAGCCTGCTCGCATATCGGCAAGTCCGTCGTTGGCTCTGAAAATATATGGGAAAAGTTTCTTGAAAACCTTTGATTTGGAAAACGCTTAAGCAGTGGTGCAACTATAGGCTAGTCACCGGAATCCACTTGGGTCAGTGGTTTTTTTTTATTGCTTAGATGTGTGGACGAGCTCACAGCCCACCTGATGTTAAGTGGTTACTGGAGCCCATAGACGTCTACAACGTAAATGCGCCACCCACCTTGAGATACAAGTTCTAAAGTCTCAAGTATAGTTACAACGGCTGCCCCACCCTTCAAACCGAAACGCATTACTATTTCACGGCAGAAATAAGCAGGGTGGTAGTACCTACCCGCGCGGACTCGCATGATATCCTACCACTAGTAACCCGTGAGTATTAAATTTCTTTGTCTAGGGCCAGTTAGGTTTTATAAATGTAGCCCCATACGTGCTTGTTTCACATTCCTGCCTACAGAGGAGATGGATCACAAGGAAATACGAGAAGTATTATGTTACTCACCATCACTCATGACTGATGTCAAGCACGCAGCGAAGAAAACGCCCGCGAATAGGAAAAGCACTGATCTCAACATGACGTCTCTAATTCAATATTGTATGTCTTATATTCAAGAGCCAATCGCTGTTTATATAGCCAACGCTATCTGACCTTGATCTAGGGTCAAGATGATTAATATTTTCGGCTGACAGAACGCTGTGTTTTTTCGAGCATGATATCGTCTGGTAACATATCCGTGATTTCGTGCGATTTTTAAAGCTTAATATTGGTTGATGTTTGTTTGAAACTTAATGGTTGTTTGTTTGTTTGTTTCGCTTAGACGGTAGACCGATTGAGTCTTAGTTCTAGTGGTAGAGTTAACATTGTCTATATCTATACTAATATTATAAAGAGGAAAGATTTGTTTGTTTGTTTGTTTCGAATAGGCTCCGAAACTACTGGACCGATTTGAAAAATTCTTTTTCCATAAGAAGCCGACATTGTTCCTGACGAACATAGGCTACTTTTTTTTATTTTTTTTTTATTTTTTTTTTTNGAAAAAAGGAAGATATGTTCCCGCCAAAAGTCTGTCAAATGTCAATCTCAAACCTCAGTGTTGACAGTCACATTATGTTTAGATTTCTAAATTGTAAATGACTAATATTTTGCCAATTGAATTGACTAATTTAATTTCATGCTATTTGATTAATGTTCCAAATTCTTTTCATTTCATTTCAATTCCTATTAACATTTTTCACAAAAAAGTTATAAAATATTAGGCTGTATGGTATAATACATTTGCCTTTCCAGTTGGAAAAATATAACAACTACTACTACTGACTTTTGACAAGTACTTAATGTCAATAGTAGTTTGATGTCACTTCCGTAGCATACCTGCGTGACGTTCTGTAAAAAATTTACCCTCATGCGCCTAAAGAAGTTTCACTTCAAAAAACAATTAATCAATAAACCGGAATAAACAAATAAAGAAAGAAAGCAAGGATGCGTTACACTTAGATTATAGTTACGCAATAGCTGTTGACATTGTCTTTAACAGCGTCGAGTCTTAATTATGGACAGTTGTCAGTACCACCGCAATACCCTCGACAATGAAATCGCTAATACCCCGTTCATGTTGAGATTTTCTATTATGCTATGAGTATCGAAAAGAAATTAGGCAAAATCGATGCCCGTATCAAGGTAACCAGTGTTGGCTTATAGAACACTCACCTTTGGATGCTGGCCATGCAAAGGCCCGTAATACCAAAAGGCTGCATGCATTTCGGTAGGTTCATGTAAGGCTCTGAAAATTTAGGTCATATTTTAACAACGATAAACCCATGAAGCTACGTGATGTATGTATTGCAAATAAATTGTCGGCTATTACGATGGTAAGATTACTATTTTTACTGGTGGTAGGACCGCTTGTGAGTCCGCACGGGTAGGTACCACCGCCCCGCTTATTTCTGCCGTGAAGTAGTAATGCGTTTCGGTTTGAAGGGTGCGCCAGCTGTTGTAACTATACTGAGACCTTAGAACTTATATCTGAAGGTGGGTGGCGCATTTACGTCGTAGATGTCTATGGGCTATAGTAACCACTTAACACCAGGTGGGCTGTGAGCTCGTCCACCCATCTAAGCAAGAAATAATAAAAAATGTACATGCAGCTGATTATCATGGTTCGAATTAATACAATGACGTATCGACAAGTCACGTGAAGCGAATCGCCTGGAGGGGCGACCGTTATATTTGGTATCAGCGTGCGGTCGGACCAAATACGCTCCACTCTCAATACCTCAGTCCACGTTGCTATCCACACAGCCGAGGACAGGCAGGAATGGCGCAAGATGATGCAGGAGAAAATGATTAGAGGAGGCCACGACCCTCAGCACTGAGGATTATCGACGCAAGGAGGAGGAGTGCTTAGTACGAGGTATTTAACGTTCCCGATAGCGTAAAAGTTAACTCAAGTTTGTATGGAGTTCGCTGAGTCGGCTGTTGCCGAACGTCGGGGGGCCTGACGTGGTGGTGCGCCGCCTCTACACGGGGGTGGTGCGGTCGATGGCACTGTATGGGGCTCCCGTGTGGTGCCACGCCCTGACCCGCGACAACGTTGCGGCGTTGCGACGTCCGCAGCGCGCGATTGCGGTCAGGGCGGTTCGTGGATACCGCACCGTCTCGTTCGAGGCGGCGTGCGTGCTAGCTGGGACGCCTCCCTGGGACCTGGAAGCGGAGGCGCTCGCTGCGGATTACGCGTGGCGATGCGATCTCCGCTCCAGGGGGGAGCCGCGTCCTGGCGCGGCGGAAGTTCGAGCGCGGAAGCTTCAATCTCGGCGTTCCGTGCTCGAGGCGTGGTCTCGCCGCCTGGCGGACCCCGCCTACGGGCGACGGACCGTCGAGGCGATCCGCCCGGTCCTCTCGGACTGGGTGAATCGCGACCGAGGACGTCTCACCTTCCGAGCGACGCAGGTGCTCACGGGACACGGCTGTTTCGGTCGCTACCTGCACCTCGTCGCCCGGAGGGAGCCGACGCCGAAGTGCCACCACTGCAGTGGCTGCAACGAGGACACGGCGGAGCACACGCTCGCGTACTGCCCCGCTTTCGCGGAGCAGCGCCGCGTCCTCGTTGCAAAAATAGGACCGGACTTGTCGCTTCCGACCGTCGTGGCTACGATGCTCGGCAGCGACGAGTCCTGGCAGGCGATGCTCGACTTCTGCGAGTCCACCATCTCGCAGAAGGAGGCGGCGGAACGGGAGAGGGAGAGCTCTTCTTCCCTCTCGGCACCGTGCCGCCGCCGTCGGGCCGGGGGTCGGAGGAGGGCGTTTGTCCAGCTCCAGCCCCTATGAGGAGGCAGTCTCCTCCCGGTGATGGTCACGGGGCGACCTAAGGGGGTTGAGGCTGCGCCGCACGCTACCGTCACTCTAGCGCGCTGGCACCAGGAGGACGGGACGGCGCGTCGGCGGCTGCGGACTGCGATGCGGTCCGCATTTTCGTCGTCGCTGTCGTCGCCGAACATACTGTTGAAGAGCAACCCGGTCGGCGGTGTATCGCGTTCCGACCCGGCAGGCTGGTTCTGGCCCAGCGGGGTATCCCGGAACACCAGCGGCACCGCCCGGGCGGCCTGGTAGGGCCGCCGTACCGCGGAGACTGACGTCGTTGGTCGTCGACTATCGCCTCGACGACCCGTCAGTCGGGCGTCCTCGGGGTGGCGCCGCGTGTCTGGTTGTAGTGATGACCGCGGGAACCCCCCTACTCTGAACGGGTTCTGACCCCGGGCGGAGATCGGACGTCGGGTGTAAGAGTGCAGGGGAGTCGTTTAGTGGGTGGGCCCTAAAATCCTTGGGCCCGCGATCTGCTCTCAACACCTGCAGATCGTTGAGTCTCACATACCCCGCGCGCCCCCTAGGCGCGGGGACCTCGTAGGAGGTTCGGCCCCCGGCCCGAAAAAAAAAAAAAAAAAAAAGTTTGTATGGAGTTGGAAGGATTACTTAGGTTAGCCGCTAGGGGCGCTGTTCCAACTGCATACAAAATTGAGTTAACTTTTACGCTATCGAGAACGTTAAAAAAAACTTCCACTGAGCATACAGAACGGATATAACTGACTCCCTCTCACACTTTTTGAGAATACACGAGGCAGGTCGACCCTTCAAACGGGACAACCGGCTGGCTTGGATCTGGTAATAATTATTAAAATAATTTAATTGTAGTGCAAAGTGATTGCGAAGTAGGTACACTGCTGTTGTTTTTAATTGAACTAGAGGTCCCGCAGTAGTCGAAATTCGACTATAATTAGTTGGAATTGTAAGTTTGTACACTATTATGATTGTATTTTATACTTCTATAATCACAAATTTCGCCAAGACTACACTATAAAAAATATTTATAAAGACAAACAATATTTAATCTATTCTCAATTTGAACACAGACGTCAAGAACAAAAGTTTGACAATAAATAAAAGTATGCATGCGTGTGTGCGTCAAATACATAGTATGTAGTGTGTGTAACGTTTTCTTTATTGATTTAAGGTATCTTTTATGCATTCTTTTAAAAAAATATTAGTAGAAGTAAAAATAACGTCAAGATAAAATTAATGTTTATCTTTGGACGTGATTGTTTTTAGATTGACAAAGTAAAATAGGTAAAAGAACTGTTGTTTTTTTTAAACTATTTCTATTGTTTAGATGGGTGGATGAGTTCACGGCCTAAATGTTGTTAAGTGGTTTTTATGCGGAGCCAATAGATGTCAACAATGTGAAAGATGTCAACCACCTTGAGACATGAGTTCTAAGCCTCAGCTTTTACAGTACAACGGCCGCCCCACTATTCAAACCGAAACACATTACTGCTTCACGGCAGAAATAGACAGGGTCACAAGATGTCCCGCCATTAGTAATTTTCGCTGATTTCATTTTATTACTCACTTCACTTCGATGTTATTACTTCACCGTGGAAGTAATTCGCGAACATATGCGAAGTACGTATTTCATTAGAAAAAATTGGTACCTACATACCTGCGGGATTCGAAAACAATATAACGAAATAACTTGATAATTGTAAATAGACATGTTTTAACGAAAACCGACTTCAAATAGAAAAAAAAAAGATATTCCAAAACAATTTAATATACACTAAAAACAATAATCATCGAAATCGGCTGGCGTGATATTGAGTTATTGAGTTATACATCTATATGTCGCGCACGTACTTAATGCAAATATAAGACTTTTAAGGTTTTCTCATAGATACCATTATCTGAACTGGACTAAATTGAAATCGGATCAAACGGAAAGCGTCAGTTTTCTAATAAAAAAAGAATCATCAAAATCAATTCACCCAGTCAAAAGTTATGAGGTAACGAACATAAAAAAAGAATATACAGTCGAATTGAGAACCTCATCCTTTTTTGAAGTCGGTTAAAAAGACATTAAAAAATTTATAGATTTACCATCACACGTAACTGACGTCCAGATAGCAGCGAAGAAAACGCCCGTGGTCAGGAAAAGCACTGATCTCAACATAACTTCTCTGATTCAATATTGTATGTCCTATATTCAAGAGCCAATCGTTGTTTATATAGGCACAATTATTTGACCCTTTGATATTAGGTCAGAATGATTAATACGTCTGACAAGTAAGATTCTGCGGATTTGTTTTCTCCAGCTCACTGCTTTTGATTCCATATATGCGTTATTGGTGGTAGGACCTCTTGTGAGTCTGCGCGGGTAGGTACCACCACTCTGCCTATTTCTGCTACTACTACCAGACTCGCCACCCTGAGGACGCCCAACCGCCAGTCCGCCCGGGCGATACCACTGGTTTTCCGGGATATCCCGCTGAATCTGAACCAGCCGGGTCGGAGCTCGATACGCCGCCGACCGGTCACTCTTTTGATGTCACACCTTGGCGGCGCGTTAGATTAGTCGGAACAAACAGACAGACAAAAATTAAAAAAGATATTATTTTGGTGTATGTATGTGTTCTGATGGTAGGACCTCTTGTGAGTCCGCGCGGGTAGGTACCACCACCCTGCCTATTTCTGCCGTGAAGCAGTAATGCGTTTCGGTTTGAAGGGTGGGGCAGCCGTTGTTACTATACTTGCGACCTTAGCACTTATATTTCAAGGTGGATGGCGCATTTACGTTGTAGATGTCTATGGGCTCCAGTAACCACTTAACGCCAGGTGGGCTGTGAGCTCATCCACCCACCTAAGCAATAAAAAAAAAGAAATAAATATGTTGTTTTGGTGTATATAGCGTATACATATGCATGTAGTAAAAAGCAGTTATTTCAATATTACAAACAGGCACTCTAACTTTATTTATATGTATAGATAATTTCGATGTTTCTCACATGCATTTTTCTTTTCTTATCTTACTTATCAGACGAACATAATGTTTTCTATTAATCCTCTATAAATATATTAATACAAAATGTCTTGCCAATGGACGTATCCATCAATGCAGAACATGGACTGTTGAGGCTACAAAAACGACATTTTAATATAACTAGATGATGAGCTTTGCTCGGTTTTTTTTTTGATAACGCCATCTTGTTGTGACTTTAAAGCGGTTAGTTGCCCTCAATTAAGAAAAATAGTATTATTATTCGCCAATAGATGTCGGGAAGAGTTGATTATAGAAAACACGAATAAAACAACATTTTCTGAAAATAAATCGTAGCTAGATCGATTTATCGCCCCCGAAATCCCCTGTATACTAAATTTTATGAAAATCATTGAAGCCGTTTCCAAGATTCAGATTATATATGTATATATATATATACAAGAATTGCTCGTTTAAAGGTATAAGATAAAAGCAGTAGGTATATTTTGTTTATTATATTATCGTGTTTATAATGAAGCAAATCTGTTAGCAGGCCTCGATCTTCTGAACTGTGATATCATCACTGTGTCAACAATAATACATAACATGCTGGTCAAATTATGTTCACTTTCCGTCGTGTTTATAACAACGATTTTTTAATAATGTTTGTGAAGCATTCATTCGGTTAAACCGATTGTTAATTTTTAAGTAGGTATCGCTTAGAGCAGGGATTCCCAAAGGGGTCAATATCGGCAACTTACACGACTGATAATTGAACCAACCTCAAAGTTTTAAAATTGGTAAGTATTTTGTGTATCGATATAAAAATTCAAAAGTAGGGATGGGATTTTTAAAGTTATCTGGGTATGGTTGCTGAGGTTTAGTATTTGACACTTTTAGGATCATTCGGGAAAAGACGTATCTTGCCGAAAATAGTTGGGAAGTTCGGTCTTAGAGGTACATTCTGTATTCTTTGTTTTTCTTGTGTTTGTGTGTGTATGTGTGTGTGTGAGTGTTTTTGTATCATCTTTGGTTTTGACAAGTCGTAGAATTCAAACTTATTATAAGGTTCAATCTCGCATATTGTCATTACATTATTTCTGATGTATCCGATGCTTTACAGTCTCCGTGGCACGTCATTTCGGATTCTCCCGATCCACTAACGGTGCTTTTAGGTACCTTAAGCACAAGTCATCGTTCTCGTCGAACCAGTCGCTCGCGACGAAGGGCTCGGCGAGTAAATTAACCTACAGACACAGCCCACTGAGTTTCTCGCCGGATCTTCTCAGTGGGTCGCGTTTCCGATCCGGTGGTAGATTCTGCGAAGCACGGCTCTTGCTAGGGTTCGTGTTAGCAACGTCGTCAGGTTTGAGCCCCGTGAGCTCACCTACTAGTTAAAGTTACGCTGAATATGGTCTCTCTAGACCATATTCAGTAGAAAAAAAAAAGTTTTCGTTATCACGACCGTCTTATCAGTGGGCGTAAAAGTAATTTTAATTATGTTTTTTTTTTTGTGGTATTCTTCGATAAATTCTATTAAAATTAAAACTATTTCGACAATGACTATATGTAACGCTGTTATTTAATTTATAATTTACATTGCTGTAGATTCTGTTATCGTTGGTGGAGACTCGTCTCCGGGTAATAAAATTATTACTGATTTTAGTAACTGCGTTTATTAGATGATTGTTAGAGCTTCAATTATGTTTTTAATTGTTATGCTGCGAACAGCTTGAAGAAAACCCACGATAATTCACATATAAATCTGTATATTTAATAGTTTTTATACAAAACATCATCATTTTATGCACCAGGGCAGCCGATTTAAAGAGCGTGCGTTAATTAGAAATTATTAGTTAGTTTATGCATTTCTGTTCGCATTCGGCCAATGTGCTGAAACGATTATCATTCCCTTGGCAGCCTCCGTAAATGAATTCTTCACAGTTCTTCGTCTCCTGGTTGTACGAGTATCTACAAGAGGAATATAAATAAGACATACGGTACATATTCTAGATTAAGTCCCCAACAAACCGGGTTCTGTAAGGTTTGTATCTTAGGTCTGATTTGCCTGTGTACAAAAATGTCGCGTTGACAACCAACGGGTAGTACTAATTTTCGAGACAACTATTCTGTGTGGTCATTGAATATCACTGAAATTTTAGAATACAATACTTCGGCCTCATCTCTGGATACGAGTGGAGGCATTCGAGTTGAGGTATTCCGGCAATCACCATATTTATTTATTTATTTTTTATTGCTTAGATGGGTGGACGAGCTCACAGACCACGTAAGTGGTTACTGGAGCCCATAGACATCTATGACGTAAATGCGCCGCCCACCTTGAGATATAAGTTCTAAAGTCTCAAGTATAGTTACAACGGCTACCTCTAGCACCAGTTTCGGGTGTTTGTTTGCAGTTTTATTCAGAAGTTTGTCGAAACTACGTATAAAAATGTCGCGTTCTCGACTATTTAATGGCAGTACTAATTTTCGAGACAACTATTATGTGTGGTCATTGGATATCACTGAAATTTTAGAATACAATACTTCGGCCTCATCTCTGGATACGAGTGGAGACATTCGGGTTGTCGTGTTCCGGCAATCAGCAGTTACGTTTATTTGGAGTGTTATTCAGAAGTTTGGAGAAAATCAAAACATTATATCTATATTTATCGGTTTGAGAGCTAGACCAACTTTTCAATGAAGGGTTCAGGAGAGGTCCATATTATACCATGATACCATATATCCACACGCGTGTCCATATTCATAATGAAACTTATGTATAGATGGGAAAAGGCGAATTAGTTTAGTACCATTTTCTGTACTGTCCATCAGCCGATTTCTAAAATCAATCAGTGTTACAGTTACCCAAATGCGCAGCGAGTAAAGTCCTTGGTAGATCGGTGGACCAACAAACTGCTAAAGGTCGCGGGAGTCCACTAGATACAGTAGCGGTCAACATGGCAAGCCTTGGGGATGGCTTTGGTCCAGCGGTGGACGGTTCTGGGTGGATGATAGGTATCTTGGAATTTCGATCATCGGACAAACACTAGTTTTAATAACAACACTCACAGTTTCATATAGCCGAAACAAAGACCCGCATCGCCAAAAGCCTGCTCGCATATCGGCAAGTCCGTCGTTGGCTCTGAAAATATATGGGAAAAGTTTCTTGAAAACCTTTGATTTGGAAAACGCTTAAGCAGTGGTGCAACTATAGGCTAGTCACCGGAATCCACTTCGGTCAGTGGTTTTTTTTTATTGCTTAGATGTGTGGACGAGCTCACAGCCCACCTGATGTTAAGTGGTTACTGGAGCCCATAGACATCTATAACGTAAATGCGCCACTCACCTTGAGATATAAGTTCTAAGGTCTCAGTATAGTTACAACGGCTGCCCTACCCTTCAAACCGAAGCGCATTACTGCTTCACAGCAGAAATAGGCAGGGAGGTGGTACCTACCCGCGTGGACTCTCATGATATTCTACCACTAGTAACCCGTGAGTATTAAATTTCTTTGTCTAGGGCCAGTTAGGTTTTATCAATGTAGCCCCGCACGTTCTTGTTCCACATTCCTGCCTACAGAGGAGATGGATCACAAGGAAATACGAGAAGTATTATGATACTCACCATCACTCATGACTGATGTCAAGCACGCAGCGAAGAAAACGCCCGCGAATAGGAAAAGCACTGATCTCAACATGACGTCTCTAATTCAATATTGTATGTCTCATATTCAAGTGCCAATCGCTGTTTATATAGCCAACGCTATCTGACCTTGATCTAGGGTCAAGATGATTAATATTTTCGGCTGACAGAACGCTGTGTTTTTTCGAGCATGATATCGTCTGGTAACATATCCGTGATTTCGTGCGATTTTTAAAGCTTAATATTGGTTGATGTTTGTTTGTTTGTTTGTTTCGCTTAGACGGTAGACCGATTAAGTCTTAGTTCTAGTGGTAGAGTTAACATTGTCTATACTATCTATACTAATATTATAAAGAGGAAAGATTTGTTTGTTTGTTTGTTTCGAATAGGCTCCGAAACTACTGGACCGATTTGAAAAATTCTTTTTCCATTAGAAGCCGACATTGTCCCTGATGAACATAGGCTACTTTTTTTTAAAAAAAATTTTTATTTAATTTTTTTTGGTTTCATGTCTGTTTTAATGTTTCCGAAGCGAAGCGAGGGCCGGTCGCTAGTTATTAATATTTTGACATTCAACTAGTGTGTTATACTGACAATATGTAAGTTGAAATAAATGATTTTGAATTTGAATTTGATATAGTACAACTGCTGCTCCCACTCTTGAAACCGGAACGCGTTACTACTGGTACATTGTATGTAACGAAATCTGTGAACGTCTTTCTCACCCACCCAACGGCGGATCCAGGGGGGGGGTCACGGGGGTCATGACCCCCCCTGAGCTAGTTCCAGGACTTGAACTGGCTTGGACTAATTGAAGAACATCATGATTTATTTATTAGCTATTGTTATCAAATTAAATTATAAGTTCTTAACTTGCCCACGACTATGTGACCCCCTCCTGGCGCCATAGCTGGATCCGCCCTTGCACCCACCACTCTCCAACTAGAGTCCGCCAAATAGCCTAGCCGTGTTTCGGTGTGTGGGTTGGAGAGCAAACGTGCTCGCGAGTCCGAGGGACGTGATTTGATGATGGGAGTATAGGGAGACCCAGTGAAGTGGTCTCCGCCGCCGCCCGCCGGTCAGTAGGGGACGTGAAACGGGCGACATTACTAAACTCCGCTGGAAAGCTGTCCCGCCAATCGGTCTAAAAAGCTGTCATGGGGTCGTCTTGCCGAAGTTGGAGATCAGAGTGGATCCCGGCGATCGTACGCAGGGTGAACGGGTGGCCTCTTCGCGCCATTTTTTAATTTTTTTTTATTGCTTACTTGAGTAGACGAGCTCACAGCCCACCTGGTGTTAAGTGGTTACTGGAGCCCATAAAGCATCTACAATGTAAATGCGCCACCCATCTTGAGATATAAGTTCTAAGGTCTCAAGTATAGTTACAACCGCTGCCCTACCCTTCAAATCAAAACGCATTACTGCTTCACGGCAGAAATAGGCAGGGCGGTGGTACCAACCCGCGCGGACTCCAAGAGGTCCTACCACCAGTAATGGATAATGGAGCCATGCGTCAATTCCTCGCGCAACTCCTGATCGAGTGTTCATTATGCGCTGCGCTTTGTTCAGGTATCGTCTTGATCTCACCTCTAGCGTTCTAATTCTCAGAATTCTTACTCTCCAACCACAAACATGAAAGTCCATAAAACGAAAGGATTTCGGCGGATCCCCATTCCACATTTAATATGGATTTCAACTCTTTTGGGGGCCTACATAACAAACTTGACGGCGTCCGCCATTGCCTTGAGATGGCGCAGATATTTGCTCCGGATGATATATCGTATCTCGAATACCCCAGCTACGCATTTTACCACATTTTCTTGCGTAAAGTCTGGGTATGCATATTTGTCCGGGAGAATGTCTGCTGTCGTCGCTTCGGGGCCGCAAACAACGAGTCTGGTCTGTGTTGTGGCTGCGCGTTGACTATGGGGATTATACCCGTGCCTGCTTGTACGGATTCTACAGCAGCGATGCGGTGTCAGCTCTGTTTGAGCATGTACAAGAAGGGATTGATCATGTGCAGCATCCGGAGAAGATGGTCCTTGGAATACTCTAATACTCATCACCAGGACTGGTTGGGGTCCAGAACCACTGCTAAGCATACTGTAAGCAGAGACCACTGGGGTGAAAAGCCGAGTGGATATACAAAAACTCGGAATAACCTTTTTAGTTGACCGCGAAAAACAAGGCGTTCCTAAATTCTGTTTTTGTAACGAAATAGATTAGCTTGCTTCTTGTTATTATCGCTGGGTTTCGACCCTTCATGGCTCCGTAATGGTAATGGTAATGTCTCTGGTAATGTCTGTTCAGTATTATCTATGCGAATTTCTACAAATTAATCAAGTCCGGAATGGCTTCTTTCAAAGCAATCACGCAAAAAATGTAAATAAAATAATTTCAATCAGGCGCTTCGGAGAATCTGCAATCCACCTTCATTCAACGCCCAATTACTTATTACCGCGAACACGACTGCACGTAAATGAACTTATTCTATAAAATAATATTGTTTTGTTGTAAAAAAAGTCGACTTTGTGGCGAGAACACGTGCAGCGAAGTTGTGTGAATTGTTTTATTCATTTTAATGCTTCTTCGGGTTTTAATGTGTAATAACGGTGATTTATTAACGGCTTAGCATCTGTGAATATGCACAAATGTCTTCTTTGTCTTCACCTTATCCTACTAGGTTGAGTCGGCACAGCGAATTTTTCTATTCCGTTCTTTTCTATCAGCCGTCATCTCAACGGTCACTCCTCTCTCTCTCATATCGTCATTCACACACTCCATCCATGTCTTCTTCGGTCAACCTCTTCCCCCTTTACCTTGCACTACCATTTCCATACATCTCCTAGTCACATGCATCTCCTCTCTACGCATCACATGTCCAAACCACGGTAAGCGTCCGCTCTTTAATTTTTCAATCACCGGGACTATTTTCACACTTCCTCTGCACAAATTTTGGAAAATAAAATAAAGCCGCTGGACGTAGCTTCTTGAGGTTCTTCCAAAAAGTCTACTGAAAAAGTCTCAATAAATAACTACTTTTTTTCAGGAGGTAGTTTTATTAGATTTTTTCGAAAAAATTTATACACCTAAAAGATTTCAAATTTGCAACGAAGGTATATGCTTAAAGAGCGCATCTTGGCGCTGACTTGAAAAAAGTGTGGAAGGAAGTTCAAGTCTTCCAAACATTAGGTAGGGGTTGGTCAAGAAATATCAGGTTTTTTATTAATTAATAGCGAATCGAATCGATATTTCTCTAATGGAATGATATTTGAAGAGCTCATAATGCGGTACTTATAGTGTAAACTTAGCTTTTTTTGACGTGACAACGTCTTATAATTCGATGGAGCCGGCTGCACGCACGAAAAAACATGACTCATGCGGCGTTACCTCGCTCTGAGGCGTTTAAGGCTTGAAGTGCAAGCGAGAGCGCGCAACGAGCTACAAAGAGGCACAATCGGCCTCCGCGTTCGGCAGCGTTCGACATCTGTCTCTCTCCTACTTGAGTGAGCGATGCATCCGCGTGGACAGCCGCTATACAAAAATGAAACCATTCCATCAGTATTTTCTTATGACGTTGTCACGTTCAATTATCGTCAGTAAACCGACTTTACAGATAACCGATTTTTTTAATAGCGATTTTTGAATTGCGGCACAAGAATCGCGGCCCACAGTGTTTAACAGAGCTCATGAATATCGACAACGTAAATGCTACCATCCACCACGAGACATAAGGTCTAAATCTCAGTTGTTACAGTACAACGGCTGCCCCACCCTTCAAACCGGAACACATTACTGCTTCACGGCAGAAACAAGCGAGGTGGTGGTGGTCCCAAGACATATGGCGTCACAAGATACGCTACCAGGAAAAAAGGTATCTTGAGGCACTAGAATTTATGGAGAATGAGGTGTTGCAGGGAATAAAGTGGCTGATCATTTTGATGATAAAACCTTTTGGATTACACATATGTATTCGATATTATCATCGAAGAATTGCTTTGCGATTGTACCAATTTAAATACGCCAGTCAAGGCAGTAATATGCTTCTCTTTAGTACTAATCTATCCGTGAATCCCACTTTTTATTATAGGTTTTTATTTATTGCTTACATGGGTGGACGAGCTCACAGCCCATCTGGTGTTTAGTAGGTACTGGAGCCCATAATCATCTACAATGCGCCACCCACCTTGAGATATAAGTTCTAAGGTCTCAGTATAGTTACAACGGCTGCCCCGCCCTTCAAACCGAAACGCATTACTGCTTCACGGTGGAAATAGGCAGGGTGGTGGTATCTACCCGTGCGGACTCACAAAATATCCTACCACCAGTAAAAAATCACCAGTACTTGGCGGCTCCCGTAAACTCTGTTTCGGTTCCTCGCATGACAATATTTTCGCGATTTTCGGCCTCACATCGGGTATCCACACGAAATAGACTATGAATAAATCTCGACATGTATTTTTATATTACCGCGGTGCCCCAGCTCTTTGACGCGTTCTCCCTCCGATGCAAGTTAGGGTTGACACGATCAACATCAGATTTATTTAATTTTTATTTTAAAAATCATCTCTGAATATTTATTCATAACTATCAAGATAGCTTCAGAGGAACTAGAGGAAGTCTGAAAGTGGCACCTGTGACAGAGAAGCTGAGAAGTGCGCGTTTGGGATGGTATGGACATGTGATGAGATGAAATGAAAATGAGGTTGGTTAGAGAGTGTTAACTATGAATGTGAAAGGATATAGAGGAAGAGGTAGACCTAAGAAGCAATGGATGGATTGCGTAAAAGACGATATGTGTAAGAGGGGAGTGAGCGAAGAAATGGTATATGATAGAGGAGTATGGAAGGAGAGAACATGTTGCGCCGACCCCAGGTAACTGGGAGAAGGGCATGATAATGATATCAAGATAGCTTCACTAGTAGCCTTAGTTTGCTTATTTTTCTTAAAATTCTTAATTTTTTTTCTCTTTCATAAAATTTTAACGGTCCAAATGTCTTCTTCGATTTGTGGAGTTTATTTAACGGTTATAATAACTCTATAACAGCCTGAATAGATGATTTTCGTTCAATACATAACAAATGGTATTGTGCTTGTGATATTTTTGTGTTGTCCGTTTCTATTCCAAGAAGGAATCTGTGCATAGCACTGGCCATACCATAGGTCCATGTCCATAGATCGAGTTGTGGAAGCAGCAGACTAAACAATATACTAATGTCATGATGGAGGCGCTCTCATTCCTCATCGAACGCGGTTGTGACGTCAGCGCTGGTAGACTTTTGCCTAGCTACCTGTCTCGTGGGGATATCCTGGCTTCACCATGACTGGTGGATGAGCTCACGGGGCTCAGCCTAAAATCCGCCAACATCTGCCCTTGCAAGAGCATTGCTTCCCTGACTCTACCAGCGGATCGGAGTCGTATTTACTAGTGCTTAGGCGTCTTTTGAGTCCGCACGGGTAGGTACCACCGCCCTGCCTATTTCTGCCGTGAAGCAGTAATGCGTTTCGGTTTGGAGGGCAGGGCAGCCGTTGTACTATAAGAACTGTGTGCTTATTGCGAGTTTTTTAACATTCTCGATCGCGTAAAAGTTAACTCCATTCTGTATGGAGTTGGAACGTTTGCCTGCGTTTGCCGCTAGGGGCGCTGTTCCAACTGCATACAAATTTTAATCACTTTTACGCGATCGAGAATGTTAAAAAACTCGCACTAAGCACACTGATCAACTTTCAACTCACGTTTTAAAGTGAGTTGACATCATTTACGTTCTTGACGTCTACGGGCTCCGGTAACCGCTCATCGCAATATGGGCCGTGAGTTCGACCGCCCTTTTAAGCTATAAAAAAAGAGTGCTCTGAGGAATTGACCCAGATAATCCTGCCATTTACTTTGTAGTAAGGCACCTCCCATTATTATGTGTCCTTCTTTACAGAAGACTTAAAGAGTCCTCGAGGGTGGTAGTCAGAAGCTCAATTATATATATCCCTGACATTGCTGATGTCCATGAGTATTTGGACTGACTGACTTGGAAGGTTTACCTAATTTCCTGTAGATGGATCGAAATATTATATCACGAAACAAGAAATAATCGAAGACTTCATCATCAATTTATGAAATAAAAATTCAATGACGCAGCCCTAAAAATAGACGCCCTCCCACTAGGGTTGTACGACAATAGCACAGCGGGGTTGTAATTAAAAAAAAAACGCAAAAATCTGATGCTTGGGCGTGAATTTTCACGCGTCCCACTCAATGCCTCATGCGTGTGCACACTACACGTACACAAGCATGTGTGCGTGAACTGGTAATTAATTAAAAAATATATATAATATATATGAAGTGCCATTCGTGTTGTTTATTTACACTTGACATATGATAAGTTCTTCTAATGCGCACATTTTGTTGTGTTTTTTAATTGTTCGTCACATTACTTTTTATCAAGTCATTGATAAGTGATTGGGGGATTTAGTGGACAAATAATCACAAATCTGACCTGTATGTGGCCAAGAGAACTTAGCTATTTAATAAAGACTAGAGGTCTCGCAGTAGTCGAAATTCGACTATAATTAATTGAAATTGTAAGTTTGTACACTATTATGATTGTATTTTATACTTCTATAATCACAAATTTCGCCAAGACTGTAAAACTATAAAAAATATTAACAAAGACAAACAATATTTAATCTCAATTTGACAACAGACGTCAAGAACAAAAGTTTGACAATAAATAGTATGCATGCGTGTGTGCGTCCAATACATGGTATGTAGTGTGTGTAATGTTTTCTTTATTGGTTTAATGTATTTTTTATGCATTATAAAAAAAATATATTAGCATTGTGCACTTCTTCTCTATATTCTCTATAAGTGTGGAAAATTTCATACTCCTCCGTCCGCGCAATTTTCGTAAAAAGGGATACAAAGTTTTTGCTTCACGTATTAATATATAGATAATGTCAGAGATAAAGACAATATGTAATTGAAAATGAAACACGTAAGTTTGATTAATTTGCATAAATATTTTGGTATCAACAGTGGGATTCACAATCATGTGTTCGGATTCGAAGTATGACGTAAACTATTTCACAATGAGTTTCAGATTTCTGTGACAGTAACTTAGTATTTGTGGGTAACCGGTAACCCCTTGAGACAAGGTTAATTGGGCTCTTCTGGTGGTAGGACGTCCCGTGAGTCCGCGCGGGTACCTAAGTACCACTACCCCGCCTATTTCTGCCGTGACGCAATAACGCGTTTCGGTTTCAACGGTGGGGCAGCCGTTGTACTGTAAAAACTGATACCTTAGAACTTATGTCTCGAGGTAGGTGGCGGCATTTTTGTCGTAAGTGTCTATGGGTCCCGGAGACCACTTAACACCGAGTGGGCCGTGAATTCGTCCACCTACCTAAGTAATAAATATATAAAAAACAAATCATCTTTGTCTCTCATCTTTGTATTGTCTAAATGGGTGAAAGTCTTCACAACGTGAAAGCTACCATCCGCCTTGACACATCTGATCGAAGTCTCGAATTGTAAGAACATGAGTTATATTTTGAACCGAAACCAACTTGATGAACCGGAATGAGGAATGTTTTGCGGCAGATAAAGGGTAGGATGATGCCACTCACATGTGTGGGCTTACAATGTGTCCCACTACCAGTTAATGTCGATTGGCGATCGTACCATAATGATAAGAAGAAATAACAAATCACTGAGATCAAACCATTTACGGCCGTCTGGTGTAGTGGTAAGTGACATGGTCACTACACAAGGGGGTCGCGGGTTCGATCCCGCCAATGGAAGAGATTTGTATGATAAACATAAAATGTCTTTTCCAGGGTTATGGATGTATATTATATATATGTAAGTTTATAATAAAAATCTTACATTTATTTCCGTTATCTGGTACCAGTAACACAAGTTCTTTACGGACTTAGCACGGGACCAGTTAGCGTTGCGTGATCGTTAGTAATAAAAAAAAAAGTACGGTCATCGGGGCCCAATTTAGGACCCTCAGTATTATGGCTACCAGAGATTGACATAGATATAGATTTAGATAGTTCATCAAATCAATAGATAGTTCATCAAATTAGTTCATCACACGAATGTTTGGCTGATGTGGGAATCGAATCCACGACCCTCAGCGTAACAGTCAGCGGCGCTAATTATTGCGCTACCGAATCAGTCATGTCATGTAACGTGTTCATATAATAGCCAATATCACTGCCATTCTCCGGTTAGTCTTAGTCATTTTACGAAATTCAAGAGCAGAGTTGGTGCTATTGTGGGTTAACATCACACAGCTAATCTAGCGATTTGGTTGTCTGTTTGTATCGCCTCCATGGCGCAGTAAGTTAGCACGTTCGGCTGTTAACCGAGGGGTTGGTGGATCGAGTCCACCCGGGGGCGAGACTGTTTTTGTACTTCCATTATTCAATTGAAATTGGATCAAATTACTATATTTATAGGGAAGTGTTTCCTCTGACAGCGGTGCTATTTATCCAAGAGAAGGTCCATCGCCTCCGTGGCGCAATCGGTTAGCGCGTTCGGCTGTTAACCGAAAGGTTGGTGGTTCGAGTCCACCCGGGGGCGAGACTGTTTTTGTACTTCTATTAACCAATCGAAACTGGACCCCATTGCTATATTTATAGGGAAGTATTTCCTCTGACAGCGGTGCTATTTATTCAAGAGAAGGTCCATCGCCTCCGTGGCGCAATCGGTTAGCGCGTTCGGCTGTTAACCGAAAGGTTGGTGGTTCGAGTCCACCCGGGGGCGAGACCGTTTTTGCCAACGTTAACTAGTTTAAAGCCAGTAATAATATTTGAGTCGTCTATTATCAAAGGTGGCAATCTGTACATTTGGACAAAAAAATTTTATTGATATGTCAATACAGATTGATTTGAATATAATCGTCTCCTTCAAAGAATACGGTTCAAAACCTGCATTAAATAAAGGTTAATAGTTAACCTGTTATTTATCTAAGATGTCGTTCCGAAGAGTTTTGTGACTGCCAATGGAAAACAAAGTCAATAATTCGTTTTTCTGATTTACCAATCATTGTCCAAAAGTCAGATTGCCGGCTTTGATAATAGTCGACTCATTTACAAGGAGGCTCTAGAAATATTCATTACCATATCATACCTACTAGCCATTAGACATCGTCCTATTAAACACACACACACACACACGATTTTCAACAGAAGTCGGGGAAATTGATTAATTATATTATTTAACGTATTTTTTTCTGAAATTCCCACATTTAACAGAGAACAAAGGTCAGGTAATTTTAGAGAACTACTTCAGCTCAGACCTTCCTTAACCTGTTTCTCTTTAAAAACTCCTCCCGAAATTTTTTATTAACTTTTAATTACCCCGTTTAATTAGCCCCAAATAAGACTTCAGCGGCCTTAAAGAAAAAGCACTGCCGTGTAAGGACACGGGATCCCACCATGGGTATTTTCCCAAGAAAGCCTCATGACCCTCAGCATTAAGGATTATCGACGCAAGGAGGAGGAGTTAATGGAGTTTGAAGAAGAAGTAGTGTAGGACGTAGTGTGGGTAGGTCTACAACGTGGACTATGACCTGTCGTGGGAATCCGCTGGATGTTGACATCGCAGGAGCGCTCATTGTGGCGAGGCTTGGGGCCCAATATCTAGAAGTGGACAACTGTGGGCTGCAAGACAGTATTATAGATAGCAGTGTAGGAGCAGCGTTTATGGGACTATGGTTTTATCAATAAAAACTGAAATTTTCTTTTGTCCTTAAAGACTGTGTTTTTGGCTTCCAATAGAAGCGGCCCATTTGTTTCCGTGGCTGTTCTCAAAGGCGACTAAGAGATTAATCGGAGAATAGGCAGTATTATTCTCTGAATATTGCGTACCAGGGTATTGCGACCGCTTGCATTCGTGACTTAATGACATTTCGTGGTGGTATTGTAAGACGGATAACACCATCCTGCCTATTTCTGCCACGAAGGCCCCATGCGGTGGGTCACTTGTACAATTATGATCGCGACCCCATGTCTCAATGGATGATGCATTATTATGCCTATGACCCACTTAAGCGCTTAATGAGCATCGTGCATGGCCAAATCCTCAGACTACAGAAAAAACTTTTTTCTGTATTCTGAGGGCCAAACCATCGTTTAAAGACGAAAAAACTTTAACTCTGTGTTAAAACTACTGATAACCCAAACGGGTTATCAGCAGTCTAAAATATTATGCACGAGAATGAACGGTTAAATCATATCTGACCCATTCGACGGGGTAAAGCAAAACCGCCTTCGCCCAAATCATGTCTTGTCGGATCCCCCGAATTCACTCTCGGTGCTTTTAGGCTCTTCAAGCAACTAGCAACCATCTTCAAGCACCCGAGGTCATGGTCCTCGTCGAACTCATTAACTCCAATGAAGAGTTTGACGCGTGAACTAGTCCATAGGCGCAACCCACTGAGTTTCTCACCGGCAGTAGATTCAGCGAAGCACTGCTCTTGTCAGGACTAATGCTTACAAATCTCTCAGGTTGAGCCCGCGAGCTCACAATAATTAAAGTCGGAATAGCCCCTTAGGCTACCAACTATTAAGTACGAAAAAAATCCGTGAAATTTGTTTTAATTAAATCCACGCATCGCAGAGAACGAAGAAAATTCTAACTTGTTCCAGCCGATATGAAATTCAAACGTCCACTTCCATATTCCAGTGGTTTCTGAAGAGAACATTCACGGGAACGGACACAGTGGGCGCTCGCTAATAGTAAATACAGACGGATTGTATGTATGTACGCAGGTGTGTTTGTGTGTAAAGCCACAAAAGTGCGTCGCGGGGCGGTGGTAGTGTGCGCGAGCAGGGTGCGTGCCTTGTTGAGACGAGCGCACGTTTCCAATCGCCCATCACGATTTTTTTTTTTATTACTTGGATGGGTGGACGAACTCACAGCCCACCTGTTGTTAAGTGGTTACTGGAGCCCATCTACAACGTAAATGCGCCACCCGCCTTGAGATATAAGTTCTAAGTTCTCGAGTATAGTTACAACGGCTGCCCCACCCTTCAAACCGAAACGCATTACTGATTCACGGCAGAAATAGTAAGGGTGGTGGTACCTACCCACGCGGACTCACAAGAGGGCCTACCACCATTAATTTATTTTTATTACACGATGTTATTCCTTCACCGTGGAAGTCAATCGTGAACAATTGTTAAGTACGTATTTCATTAGAAAAATTGGTACCCGCCTGAGATTCGAACACCGGCGCATCACTCAACACGAATGCACCGGACGTCTTATCCGTTAGGCCACGACGACTTCAGCCTATATTTTTAAATGCTCTCCTCTGTATACGACTCAAATGTCAAAACGCTTTTACAATTTCAAACACAAAGCACGACTTTAACAGTCTTACGACCTATAGTCTCATTTATTAATGCGGTGTGTAGCAATCCGAACATGTTCTCAGAGATACTGAGCTTTTATATTAGTTCGTTGAAAGAATAGAAATAATTTACTAAATTTACGGGTGATATTGGATGAAAGGAGTATGTATGACCAGAGACATATCACATTTAACAGACTAGAAAGCATCCCCGATATAATTACAGCGCTACATAATACGTCAAACCACCGAATTCAATTAACGGAAATAAAAAAAGGATGCGTGTACTTATGGAAGCGCGTAAGAAGTTATACTTTATTTATATTAAATTTATTTCTTTTTTATTTATTTAAATTTTAATCAATTTGAAAGAAAAATCGATTAAACAACATCCTCAAACACGCATATTGGACATCCTTTTTCTTGACATCGTATAAATTCGGTAATTCTCGGTACGGTTCGGCAAGTTCACCTGCGGCTATATTCAGACTCGCCAAGTTACGTCGGTCGTACTGTAATGAGCGATTTAGTGGGCAACTTCATTCTATTAATTTTGTGTCACGGTGCGCGCGCATCGTAAAATTTCACTCTCATAAATTTTTCATAACGCGCCCAAAGAAATATAACTTCAAAAATAGTCGATTCAAATTTTTTAAATCGTGTTCGCGTCGGTTAAAATCTCGTGTGTCATTGGAAACGGTGACTCGTCTAGTAAAGTGCGTTACCAGGATGTGTGCGTCCGCTTTCACAAATATAAACGTGTACAGATACGCTTCCAGTACATGCGAGAAAACATAGAAAAAAAAAATTACTATGTGTTCTGTCGTGCTAGAGACATAAATTCATTGCATTGGGGGAGGAAAAATAATTTACTCTAGTTGGCAAGGAAGCGATGCTAACGGCAAGCTAAGCTATAGCATTGACAGTCAGATTTGTCATGTCAAACGGTGCTGTGTTACCTGAAACGCATATTTTGTTTTTTGAAGTGAAACTTCTTTAGGCGCATTTGGGTAAAATTTTTACAGAACGTCACGCAGGTATGCAACGGAAGTGACGTCAAACTACTATTGAAATTAAGTACTTGTCAAATGTCAGTAGTAGTAGTTGTTGTATTTTTCCAACTGTAAAGGCAAATGTATCATACCATACAGCCTATTATTTTATAATTTTTTTGTGAAAAATGTTAATAGGAATTGAAATGAAATGAAAATAATTTGGTACATTAATCAAATAGCATGAAATTAAATTAGTCAATTCAATTGGCAAAATATTAGTCATTTACAATTTAGAAATCTAAACATAATGTGACTGTCAACACTGAGGTTTGAGATTGACATTTGACGACTTTTGGCGGGAACATATTATCTTCCTTTTTCCCTTCCTCTAAGTCTCGGAAATCTAAAGTTTTAGATTTGTATAAATATAAGCAAGACTCATAAATTAGTTCGCCAAAAAAGTTTCACTTCTAACATGTGTACTTTGTACGCACGCACTTTTTTTTTAAGTTAATTTGCGTCATATTAAGGCCTATAATATATGAGTCTAATCTGTCAGTGCATGCTACTACTTTCACTCGGCCTTTTGCCCTCTATTTTTCCACAGAACATCAGCTTTTCGAAGCTTTGGACAAGCTTACTAGGTATGTTCTCAAAATAAATAACAGTTTAAAAAAACTAACAAAATACGCTTTTATAGAAAATCTTTTTACAATTATTTTTTTTACAATAATGAATTTTTTCATACATTATTTTTAATTCAAATTTATTAAAATTTATTTTCTGTTTTTTAGTTGGATTTCCTATAAAAGCGTATTTTGTTAGTTATCTTTTTCAATATATTTTTTTTCAATATTTTTTTTAGATATTGAGTTGTCATCGGTCCTTAATAAGTATACCAAATTTCGAGTGAATCCAACGTTTTGAAGGGGTTCAGAATTATGTTCAAAGATAACGGAATCTTTGAACATGATTTTGAACCCCTACTAACATACATATGCCTGAAGCTAATAAAAGCGTATTAATGAAGAAATGCTCCGGACTAC